TTATGTTTGAAGTAAACAAAAACCTTTGCCATTCTTCTTTAGCAAGTAATCGGTGTTAAATAATATTTAGCAAAAAACTACAGGTGCTGCCCTCGCCTGGCAAAGTCTTTCCCTGAAAACCAAAATTCTGAGAAATACGCAAAAGGAACGATTGCAGTGAGGTGCTGGGCTCTCTCTGTGGAGTTTGGGTGTCTGCCTCCCTCCTGCTTTTCGAGGGAGGGTCTGAACCCCTGCATGGGTGTCACTCTGCTCGTCTGGTCTTGGGAGACAGTGGTAAGACCACATCGTCCGAGGCGAAGCAGGCGGAGCGTCGCAAGGCCCACGCTGTCCTCAGGCAGACGAGCACCTCTGCAAAGAAACTGGGCTCTGAGTGCTGCCAGCAGGCTTCCCAGGAGCACGTGTCCTTGGGTTTCCCTGGGGAGAGGCACTCTCCTCAGTCCGGTGATGAAACCTGCCCAGGGGCTGTGTCAGTCGTGGTCCCATCAGGAAGCACATGGCATACTCAGAATAGGAGCATTTATTCAAAAAGACTAATTAGGAAAGACTACTTATAGGAATCACAAAAGACAGTGCAGGAAGTCGGTGTCATGGCCTCTCTGCTACCAAGCGTGGAAAGTGGTGCAAAACAGTGGCCATGCCCTGGAAGGAGAGAGTCACGTGGAAAGTGCTGACTGCAGAGGAGCCGTGTCTGTCCCCCGAGGACACAGCGGTGTGAGGTGACCTTTTGGGAAGGAGCTGGGAAAAGGGAAACCTGGCCCTCTGATCTCCCGCCAGGGGTCCCCATTGGCCAGACCATATGGGGGATTGGGAGACATGGGGACAACTGGTGAAGTCCATGTAGGTCAGCTTCAGGGGCAGAAGGTGGCTGGTGGGCCTGGAGAGTCAGGCTCTGAACATGGCTCTTGATGACACAGCCCTGGTTCTTCGGAATACATATTCATTCAACAAGCATCGATTTCCACTCTGTGAGAGCAGCATGCGAGGTGCTGAGTATTCCTCGGTAATAGCATCCCCTGCTGCATGATGGGTCAAGGCCTGACCGGGGCTTTTCAGAGGGAGCGCCTACCGCAGTCCGGTAAGGTGGGCGGTGGTGTCTTCACTGGATAGGCACGCTATCCAAAGGAAAGATGGGCTCGCCCAAGGTCACAGCCGGAAAGTAACGAGACTGAGATTCCACCCCATATCTGACCCCATGCCCTCATTCTTCACAGGATGCCCCAGAGCAGCCCGTCCCCACAAGGAGGTCTTAACTGAGGAGAGGACCAGTCTTTCAGTGTTGAGGAATCCCCTTCCAGAACTGCCATAGGCAGGAAGAGTTCGGAGTCAGAGCCCTGTGAGATGAGGACATTTATTTTCCCCCTTAGGAGAAGGACTAAAATAGCCTCACTGTTCTTAAGCGGGCAAGCGTGAGACCGTCTGGTGTGAGGCTGCGGGGCCGTGCTGAGCTGGAGGTGCACATAGCCACGGACAGCTCGCCTGGAATCAGGAAGCGAGGCCCAACCAGATGCGTGGAGGAGGCCTGGAAGACCCCTGGGTCTGGGCCAAGAGCAGAGTCTTCAGGCAGAGTGCCCAGTTTTGTTTGTTGCGGGATGGGGCCCTGGACTTGCACTTACTGAAAATACAAGGTGGCAGATCCGAGAGGAAGGGCCCCAAATGAGGAACCACAGTGAGAGTCTGAGGTGGGGGGCCTTGGTGGAGACTTCAGCGTGCTGTCCAGCTTCTGTCTTCAGTTTCTTCTCTGAACTTGCACAGAAGGATCTGCCTGGGTCTCAGGGCCAGAGAGGTGATAAATAAAATGTGCTTGTGTAATTGATCAGGCAACTCAACATCAGAGCCTGTCGGTGGTTCTCAAAGTGCGGTCCCTGGACCAGAGTAGCAGCATCACCTTAGGACTTGTTAGAAATGCACACTCGGAGCCACCCCAGACCTACAGAGACAGCAACTCTGGCACGGCGTCCAGCATGGAGCCCTCAGGGTCCATGCTGAGGCAGGCACACTCCTAACAGAGGCAGGGGGTGCTTAGGGAGCCCTAACAACAAAACCCTAAGATGTGCCAGGCCCTAAGACGTGGCTTCGTGGTTGAGTGTCAACCCATGCACCGGGAGGTCGCCAGTTCGATTCCCGGTCAGGGCATGTGCCCAGGTTGTGGGCCCGATCCCCAGTGGGGAGCATGCAGAAGGCGGTCAGTTGATGTTCTCTCTCCTCAATGTTTCTGTCTCTCTCTCCCTCTCCCTTCCTCTCTCTCTAAAAATCAATAAAGAAAAAAAAAACCCTAAGATGTGGTCAGTGGGGGCTGGAGAGGGGGCGGGGGATGATTCCCCGTGGAAAGGGACCTAGCACATAACAGGCACTGGTAAGTACTGAGCAATGTGTTGGTGCAGGAAACAGCATGAGGAAATGTTAAGACTTGAGACAAGACTCTGGGTTGAATCTTGTCAAAGTCTAGGGAAAACCGAAGAGCGAGCAGGGGATTGGCAGCAGGGATGAAGGGCACTAAGTTTAGACGAGAGTCAATGGCAGTTGGTTTGTACCAACTCATTTGGATTCTCACCCTTTGTCTTTTTTGCTCCTTCTAACAGTAGGCCCTGCTCTGGTAGGTATTGGAAAGGTGTGATTCTTCCACTAAAGTGGAGGCAGAAATAGAAACTGTCATTGCTCTGTGATGACACAGGAGGTCAGAGAAGGCGTCAGGAAGGGAAGGAGGGCATACAGGGAGCATTCCTGGCCATGGAGTCGCTGTCTTGTGCCTTGAGGACTTTGGGTGGGTGCACGTGTTCAGTGAACAAATGGTGGGTCTTGTGGGAGCCCTCTGTGCATGGGGAAGGGGCTGGACCAAGGGTGGGCCAGGGAACTGGAATGGTGGTTGAACCCTCACTGTGTTTTAGTACCCGTAAGCATTTTATATTTCCATCATTTAATCCTCACCAAATCCTCTGACCCTGTGAGATAGTAAAGAACATGCTAAAAGTTGGGATTTTATCCTGTGGGCAGTACACAGCCTTTGAAGCGTTTTAAGGAGAAAATGGTGTGGGCTCCACTCTCTGTGCCTCTGGTTCTCTATTCTGACCCGTATGAGAACTGCCCGGAGCTCATTAAAAGCGCCTGCATTTGTTCTGGGCTGGGTTCCCTTCCCTCTGGGCTCTGCGGGGTATCAGGTCCAGTCAGGGTGGTTTACTCAGATTTGTGTTGGGGGTGGTGACTGTAGCTTGCTGGAGAGGCAAGCAGTCTCTTCCTCTCCTTGCAATGCCTCATTTCTGCCTGGGTTGCCTGCACCCCACCCCAAGCAGGTGAGAATAGGGGGGAAAAAAGTAAGGAAAAGAAAGAAAGAAATGCCCTAAACAGGACATACAAATGGCCAAGAGACATAGGAAGAAATGCTCAATGTCACTAATCATCAGAGAGATGCAAATAGAAACAACAATGAGGTATCATCTCACACCTGTCAGAATGGCTGCTATCAACAAATCATCAAACAACTGTTGGCGAGGGTGTGGAGAAAAGGGGACTCTAGTGTACTGCTGGTGGAAATGCAGACTGCAGCAGCCACTATGGAAAACACTATGGTGTTACCTCAAAAAATTAAGAATTGAACTGCCATTTGACCTAGTGATCCCACTTCTAAGAATATACCCTAAGAAGCCTGAAACACCAATCAGAAAGAATATATGTACTCCTATGTTCATAGCAGCACTATTTACAATAGCTAAGATCTGGAAACAGCCCAAGTGTCCATCAGTAGACGAATAGATAAAAAAGCAGTGGTACATATACACAATGGAGTACTATGCAGCGGTAAGAAAGAAAGATCTCTTGTCCTTTGAGATGACATGGAGGGACCTGGAGAACCTTATGCTAAGCGAAATAAGCCAATAAGAGAAAGACAAATACCACATGATCTCACTTATTTGTAAGATATAATGAACAAAAAAAACTTATGAACAAAATAGACCCAGAGACATAGAAAGGAGTATGATTCAGACAATCCTTAGAGGAGGGGGCAGAGGGAGGGATGAGATAAAACAAAGAATTTATTATATGCATGTCTGCATAACCAGTGGACATAGACAGCAATGCTTGCGGGATGGAGGTGAGAGGCGGGATAGGAAGGAGGGTGTCTGGGGGAAAAAAGGAGAAACATCTGTAACAAAAATAAATTAATTAATTTAAAAAAAGAACGAAAAGCCCTGCTCGGCTCTCTAATCTTTCAGCAAGGCCAGCTTGTGCTGGGCGGGGCTACTATGCAGGCTCCCGCCTGGCCAGACATTTGCATCGCCGACGCTCAGTCCCTACCGCTGGGGTGCAGATTTCCTGTCCTATGCCCTGTGCTGTTCCCTGGGGTGGCAGTTCTGTGGGCTCCCTCCAGGTCTGGTGTCTGATTCCCCAGTGCATCAGCTGAGCTGGTGAGGGTGTGGGGAAAAGGGACTCTACCACACTGGTGGTGGAAATGCAGACTGGTGCAGCCACTATGGAAAACACTATGGAGTTTCCTCAAAAATCTAAACATGGAACTGCCATTTGACCCAGTGATCCCACTTTTCGGAAGCCTGAAACACCAATCAGAAAGAATATATGCATCCCTATGTTCATAGCAGCACTATTTACAATTGCTAAGATCTAAAAACAGCCCAAGCGTCCATCAATAGATGAGTGAATAAAAAAAGCTGTGGTACATATACACAATGGAACACTATGCAGCTGTAAAAAAAAAAAAAAAAGAAAGATTTTTTGCCCTACAGACAACATGGAGGGAACTGGAGAGTATTATACTAAGTGAAATAAGCCAGTTGGAGAAAGACAAATATGACATGATCTCACTTATTTGTAGAATATAATGAACAAAATAAGCTGATGAACAAAATAGATCCAGCGACATGGAAGTAGGGCTCAGACTGACAAACCTCAGAGGAAGAGGGGTGGGGGAATGCGGGAAGGGATGAACCAAAGAACTTATAAGCATATGTGCACAACCAATGGACACAGACAATATTGTGAAGGGGGGGATGGGAGCAGGGAAGAAAACAAACCAGCTCATGCAGCTGCCAGGCTCCACTCTGGACAAGAGCATGGCGTCGGCCGAGGATCCTGGGGGCAGCTGGAGCTGTGTGGACAACACATCGGACTGCCAGGAGAAGTCAGAGGGTCTGCGTTTAGACTCAGCAGAAAGTATTTTCACTATTTGACTTTAATAGCGGCATTTTTGTTTTTCTTTCAGGAAAGTCCACAACGCCTGTAAGTATCCTTTTTTTCTTTTCCATGCAGCTTCATCGTATAAGTTCTAGTCTGTTTTGCTCCTAAATGTTCACATGTGTGCCTCATTCGCATAACAAATGCATATCGTGAACGAGGGGAGAGTCCTGAGTTTCTGCGTGAAGTTCCTTTTCCTCGGGAAATGCTTTGTACAACCCTTCTCATGAGAGACGAGCAGCCAAACCAGCTCTTCCTTTCATCGCCGTCTGTGTGGCATGGGAGGGAATAAAACTTTTACATCTAGATTCCACCTCTGGATAGTCACTGACAAGTTACTAAATAGGCATGGTATTTATTTTCTGGCTGTTAGCACTCATTTGTGAATAGGGGCCAGCGAGGAGCGCATTTTAACCCTGGACTCTTTTTGTTTTGTCAGAGTTTGTTTGGTTACCCCCTGAGCATCTTCTTCATTGTGGTCAACGAGTTCTGCGAACGGTTTTCCTACTATGGCATGAGAGGTAACTGTCCCCGCCACCACCCCCCGCCCCCTTGTGTGCAGATGTTCGTTGTCGCCGCCACTCCTCACTAACTGTGTTTTCCCTGCCCCTGCGTGCTGCGGACAGCACTCCTGATTCTGTACTTCACACAGTTCATCGGATGGGACGGCAATCTGGCCACCGCCATCTACCACACGTTTGTGGCTCTCTGCTACCTGACGCCCATCCTGGGCGCGCTCATCGCCGACTCCTGGCTGGGAAAGTTCCGGTGAGTGTTGTGACTTCCGTGTTCACAAGCGAGCCAGACCGTGATTATTAGCCTTGTGGTTTGACATGCTGGACTCTGGGAGCAAAGGATCAGAAACGTTAAACTCTTAGGAGAGCGTGCTAAGCCCTGTTTCCGCTCAGCGTCGTACCCACAGAGCTTGGCACAGTGCTTGGCATTAGCAGTGAATGTAAGTAGCGTTCATAGGTTCCTTTCCCTCCTTCAAACAGTAATAACCTCTTTGCCTCGGGGATACCATCTATCATTAACGAGGCACCCGGTTCAGGGTGAGGAAAACAAGCCCCCCAAGTTATGTCCCAGCTGCCAAAAGGCCCACACCACACTGCTCCGTGGGCAGAGAGGACACCCACCCAGTCCTTTGGGAAGTACACTCAACAGAGAATTTTCAGGAAGTTTCTAGGATTTAATAAGCAAGGATGTGGAGGCTCCTCCAGGCCAAGGCATGATGTGGGCAAAGGCAGGAAAATTCACTCTCAAAATAATTCGATACAATTCAATACAAAACTAACCACTGGTCCACTCCTGGCCAAAGGTTGTTAACCAGGCACAGATAAGGGTCTCTCATTGTCTAAAGATGTTAAGTGCTGCCCTGGCCAGTTTGGCTCAGTGGTTAGAGCATTGGCCTGCGGTCCAGAGAGACCTGGGTTTGGTTCCCGCTAAGGGCATGTACCTCGGTTGCAGTTTGTCCTCAGCCCTGGTTGGGTCGGCTGGCAGCCACTCAATGTGTCCCTTTCACGTCAATTTCTCTCTCTCTCTCTCTTCCTCTCTCTCTCCCACTCTATCTAAACAAAAAACTAAAAAATGTCCTCAGGTGAGGATAAATAAATAAATAAATAAAATAAAGATGTTAAGTGCTGATTTCAGTCGTTAGGTAAAATAAAACACTGAGTCTTCCAAAGACTTCAGAGATAAAACAGATTTCCCCCCTTGCCCCGACTCCTCCAGCCAAAACCTCTCTGCACTTGTGGGCTGGGTACAAATTCTTCAGCAGGTTGTCTTTCTAAGAGTTACCAGTTTTACTCAAGTTTGAGAAACAAGTAAATTCATGAACAGGCTCTTGAAAGTTTGAAGCAGGGGGCCTTTCTGTGGTGGAGTAGGGAGTGGACTGTACAATTAACTTGGATTTTCTTGACCCCTTTACACACAGGACCATTGTGTCGCTGTCCATTGTCTACACGATCGGACAGGCAGTCACGGCCATCAGCTCCATAAATGACCTCTCAGACTTCAACCACGATGGCGTCCCCGACAACCTCCCTTTACATGTGTGAGTTGGTGTTGCCTGCTGCCCTACCCCCACCCTCCCACTGGTTGCTTGTTGGCTGCTCTAATTTCTCATCTTTTCCCTTGAACTTCACCGTAAGTATAAGGAGGCTTGACTCCCTCATCAGCGGTCTAGAGAAGCTGTATAATTAGCTGACTAAGAGTTGGGTCTTCAGTGTGTCACCGTGCTGACCACTGTCTGGAGTCATTGCTCACTCAGAGGTCGCTGTCTGGGCTACATCTCACGGTAGCGCACGGGATGCTCCTGTTACTCCCGATCTTCCCCAGAGTGGCCTCCCTCCCACAGACCTGATCTTTAATTGCCCCAGGTCTCCTCACAGCTCTGTACCTTTGGTGTTCTGTCTCGTGCTGCATGCTTGCTGAGTTCTGGGTTCCTAAGCATTTGTTCGAGCCCTCTGTTCTGAGTCCCTGGAGGAAACGGCCGCGGACAAGCGCTCCTCTGTGAGATGACTCTCCCTTCGCTGCAGTCTGCTCTGGTAGACATGTTCCAGAGGTTTATTTTGTTTCCTGTTCCTGTGCTTCAGTTCCTTGATCTCTGAGTAAACTATCTTATCGGCTGGAAAAAAACATAATTGAAATTCAAATTTACATCTGCAGTCCCTGCGTTTCTGGTCTGTTGGTCCATCAGATTGCTGTCCAGACTAGGCCCTTTGATGTAGCATCCTTGGGGCCCCTGGGGAACTGTGTTGGTCCAGGGCAGGGGCTCTTAGCTCAGGCTGGCCGCTCAGACTTTCGGTACCGGGTCCCCAGCCCTTCCACAGAGCAGCTGTAAGACCTGAGCAACTAATCTTCTCCATGACTCAATTTCCTAATCTATAATATTGAAAAGAACACGGACTTTGGAGCCTGGCTCTGTGGGTTCAAATTCTGGCTGTGCCCCTGACTAGTTGTGTGATCTTAAGCAAGTTTCTTAACCTCTATGCCTGCTTTTCCTCATTTGTAATAGCACCTACCTCGCATAAGAGTGTCGTATCTTAAGCCAGATAGAGCACCTGGAACATTGCCTGGCCAGTGATAAGTACTCAAGAAAGCTTAGCTACGTTTTTATTTCATGGAGTTGGTGTTAGAGCGCACCTACAATTCTCACAGGGGTGCTTGGTGTGTTACCTTCAACTGGCCATGATTTTGTTGTCTTTTAAAATACTTAGAGTGACCGCACTTAAGTTCTATTAAGAAGCAAATGAGGAAAAAGGTGCTTTGACCAGCTAATTCGGGAAGATGAATGGGATTTTTAAAAGAATTCTCTCTATGTGTAGTGTCTTTCTTGACTTTATCTGTTTCATAAAGTATTTTTTTTAACATTTTAAAGTAACATAGCAACAAGAAAATATAGAAAAAACACTCATAAAACCTAAAATTTGTAGTACCTACTATAATTCAACAAAACTATAAAATGGGGGTTGGTAAATTTTATGAGTGATTTTTTTTTTCCAATTTAGAAAGTAAAGCACAGCTAGCTGGGAAAAGCAAAGGTAACTGAAAAGAAATAACCCTTAGTCCCTTCTAATTATTATAAATAATCTTTTTAATATTGTGAAAGATTATAATAAATATTTTGGTCTAGTTCTTTCCAGTCTTCAGTAAACAAGCTAAGATCATACTACATAACCTGATATTCTGCTTTGCCATTAAGTCATGTTTTCTAATGTCCTTTAATGACTGTTATGAGTCTATTAAGATTATACCAGAGACAATCCTTAAACATTTCACTTACCTACTCTTTTACTGAAAATGATAAGGTTGCAGAAGAACTCCACACAGAAGCGCTTGTTCAGTATTCAAGCTGTTGCTTTAAATTTTCTAGCTGGTAAATTATTAGATAATGGTATAAACTTGAAGGCCCCCGAAATCAAGTTTCTTTCACCTGTCAAGACAGCATTCCTCTGCGTGATCTACTCACAGAGGTTGTGTTCCTTCTCTGTGTTCACCACTGCGCCGGGCCCACTGGGGGAAATTAGGAAACAGGGGACCCCTGCTTTCAAGAATCTCCCATTTTGGTGATAATCCCCCACCCTTCTTTCTCTAGGGCTCTGTCCATGATCGGCCTGGCCCTGATAGCTCTCGGGACTGGAGGAATCAAGCCGTGTGTGTCTGCATTTGGTGGAGATCAGTTTGCAGAGGGCCAGGTAAGAGTGCGTGCCTCCCCAGAAACAGCTTAAATGAACTGTAAAACTCCTGGAATCAGATCCCGCCGACACAAAGTCTGTTCTCCGCTGGATTCTTTTCAAGCAGACTTGAAAGTGAGATACTGACCAAAACTAAGTTCAAAGTAAGGTCAGATGATCAGCCTCATTTGGTCGGTTGATATATAGCCAAAGTCATTGTACTTTAACTTGATCCTTTTTATTATAGGAAAAACAAAGAAACCGATTTTTTTCCATCTTTTATTTGGCCATTAATGCTGGAAGTTTGCTTTCTACTATCGTCACTCCCATTCTCAGAGGTAAAACATGTCGGAAGGGGACCTCTGTTCTTCTTTCTGTGATTGTGGGGAGAGTCAGGTGGGAAGTGTGTCCTTGCTTTGTCTGCTTCTTCCTTATTCTCAGCCACCGGACACACTGCAGCGAGTGCACATGGAAATCCAGACTATGAGCTGCTTTCTTTCGAGTTTTCTCTCCTTTTCAATCTTATTTGACTCCCTTCTCTTAATGAAGACGCTATAGCATCTGTAGCAGAGCAGTCAGTTTTTCTAAACTATTACAAATGCAAAGTCCTTACTCATGGTAACAGCTAAAAGCAGAAGCTGTGAAACCACACGTTCGCCTTCAAGCTTTGCTCCCAGTGATGTCCGTTGAGTTAGGAAGAATTTTGCAGGCAAGGTTTTATTCTTTGTAGATGTTTCATATAAAACTGCCCAGGAAAGAGGTTGAGATAGAAACTGGCAACGGCACTTGGATTTTTGTGTTTGCTAAGGATCCACTGAGGGTGTGTGAGTTTCCTACGTGGAAGGTAATAAAACAAGATTATGATGTACACACGGAATCAGATTAAATTATGAAATACAATATTTTGTGAGGCTTTCTGTATTTCTGCATAGACTAGTAGTTTGGAGATGATACTTAAACCACATCCCAACTTGTTTTGTATAAAACCGTAGTGGTTTTTATTCTTATGTTATGTGGCCTCACCTACCTCCCCCCGCTTCCCACCCACCAGAATATCTATTCCATGTTTGAATTAGAGAATGTGTTAAAGAATAGCTTTTTCAAAGGTAAAATCATGACTCACACAAATATGAAGTGGGCATGTGACAAAAATTTTACAGAACTTATTAGTTAATGAGGAAACTGTAAAGCTACTAGTCAGTTCAAATCGGGATTTGATACCAGGGATTCTTGCTGTTCTTCACAGGGAGGGTATTATTTGGCAAGCCACGAGCAGGAATCATTGCCTGACTGTCAGCTTCCCCCAGGGTAATTTCTTTCTCTCTACAGAACTGTGAACTAGCAGGTCAGAGGCAAAGTCAGACCCCTGTAGGATCGGATTCCTAGAGGCTCCAGCATCCCATCCAAAGGGTTTCCAGAGTTCTCAGCTGCTCCTTCCAATGTCTTCATTTTTTTCATGCCAATCCTAGGATTTTAGAGTTAAAACAGATCCTCAGTGAGGAGTTAGCAAACCACGGCCCACGGGCCCAACCCGGAAGGTAGGCGAGGCTCCACTTGTGTACACGTTCACCCTGCGGAAGCAGGCCGAGTGGTGAGGACAAAGACTGAACGGTCCTCGAAGCCTAAAATGTTTACCCTCTGGCTCTTTACAGAAAAGTTTGTTGACCCCTGCCCTGGGTCATCTAAGTGTTTTCAAATTGGCATGAATTCAGGAACATACAATCTTGGTTTTCCAAGCCACTTTTGATGTTATTTATTGAGTATTCTGGTTTTTTTGTTTGTTTTATCCTCACCTGAGGACATTTTTTGATATTTTGTTCAGATAGAGGTACAGGAGAAGGGGGGGGGGATAGAGGAAGAAAGAGGGAGAGACATCGATGTGAGAGAGATACATCAGTGGGTTGCCTCCCACATGACCCTGACCAGGGCCAGGGATTGAACCCACAACCCAAGTATACACCCTTGACCAGGAATTAAACCCATGACCCTTCGGTTCACAGGCCGACGCTCTAACTGCTGAGCCAAACTGGCCAGGGCAAGTATTCAAATCATTTTTATCTCCCCCACTAAGAAAATCCACTGAAGGTAAGAACTGATTTTGGCTTGGGTAGTATCAGACTTAGGGGCTGAGATTAGACCTGTCTACCTCTCCTGCTCTTTACCACAAAGCTGCTTTGCTCCCCTGGCGATGGCCCAGCAAGGCAAACACATAAGCTTAAAGCATTGAGTGAAAACAATACACCATAATCTGTTAGGGATTTTTTTAAAAAATGGGAACTATATGAGCATTGCCAATTCCATAATGAATTTTAATCTGGTCTTTTCTCCCCAGTTCAAGAATGTGGAATTCACAGTAAGCAAGCTTGTTATCCAATGGCGTTTGGGGTTCCTGCTGCTCTGATGGCCGTTGCTTTGAGTAAGTACCATCAGTTGAAGTAATACAATCCTGTGATCAGACCAGGCCTTCACGTGAATCATTGTGACCATTTAAACCTTCACTGACCAAATTTTAATGATAAGAAGAATTGCCATCCCATGCTAAACATGCTCTGAGAATTCAAGGAAAGTAGAGTTGGCAAAGAAGGTAGAGGGAATACGATCAAAAAAGTGTTTCCAAGAAAAGGGATCAACTGAGTTGGACAGCTAAAGGTTTGACATTATTTAGGCAGAATAAGATGAAGATGACAGAATCCACTGGACTAGCTGAACCTGAAAGTTTTTCTTCTTATCAATATGCGCTCATCGACAACCTCAAGACATGGCAACCTGGGCCAGCTGTTGTTTAAATAATTCCAGTACCATCTAGATTTCCATAATGTTTCTACTAGAATGTCTTCATTCTAGGGTGGATATATGTGCATATTAAATGCATTCATGTGCCCATGAGTTCTTGGCACTGGCTTTTTAGGAAGTTGAAGAGATTTCTACATGAGATAGTCTGGCTTGAGAGATGGTAGGGGTCTTCATTTCCAGGATGACCATACAAAAAAGCACAGACTGAGTGCCTTTTCTGAAAGATATTTATATTTTGTTCATTTGTTTGTTTTTGTTATTGTTAATCCTCACCCAAGGATATTTTTTCCATTATTTTGAGAGAGAGTGAAGGTAGCAGGGTAGAGAAAGAAAGTTATCAATTAGTTGCCTCGTGCTCATGCCCCAACCAGGACTGGGGATCAAACCTGCGACCCTTCGGTGCCAGGGCCGACAGTCTAACCACTGAGCCACATTGGCCAGGACTCAATAGATATTTATTTATTGTCTCACAGTTCTGGAGGCTGGGAGTCCAAGATCAAATGTCAGAAGGGTCATGCTCCCACTTCAGGCCCTGGGAGCACCTCTTCCAGGCCTCTCTCCCTCTCATCGTGCCCTGGCTTGTGGCAGCATAATGGCAATCTGCCCCGACCTTCGCTCTGACGCTGGTCATTTTGGAGTAGGGCCACCATAAAGGCCTCATCTTATCTTGATTGTCTGCAAAGTTTATATTTCCAAATAAGTCACATACTGAGGTCCCGAGGATAAGACTTCAATATCTTTGGGGTGGGGTTTGAGGGGCATAATTCAACCTCTAACAGTAGTACAAGAGGGAAACAGAGCCCCTTTACCGTTTCAAGCCTCCATAGCGGCTTCTCCTATCACTTTCTCTGATTTTTAAAAAATTCTTAATGGTATCAAGTATGCACCTTTTTAACCTCTTTTGCTCATGTAGCACTTTAGCTTTTTCCACACACTTATGCAAGAGCTCAGCATTCTCCCCTGTGTATATGTCTGTTTTCTTCCTTAATTGTTCAATTACTGCCACACTCCCTTAAAGGCTCTTCCTCTCTAATTCTGGGTAAGGAACTGGAGACAGAGAAGACCTCAGAAAGTGTTGTTTTAGGCTGGACACCATATTAAGTTGGCATTAGGTGAGTTGTCATTTAGTCTGTATGAATCAGTCTTACATCAAAGATTACGCTTTTTCTTATGGAGGAATTAAGAACAGCTAAATCCCATGTATCAGCATCATCTCTAGAAGTTTCTGTCTATAACAATCTGGTGCTTGAATTAGGCTTCAGTTAATCAGAAGTTTAAAGATGAAAGTATTAGTTAGCAAAAATAAAAATGTAGACTCAATCTGTTGGGCACCTCTACCATCCTCGTCTGGATGGAGGACAGTGGCATTGGGTGAGAATACAAGTAAACTCCCCTTTCTTCAACTATAGAGAATATCTGTAATTCAGGTACATACTTGGAGATATGCTTGAGAGTTGGCACCTACAAAGTCTTAGGCCCTCTCTTAACTGATGGGCAAAGGTCTAATCCAGACAGTCCATTGGTGTTTTAAAATTTTTGAATTCTGGTATTGGATAATCAGAAATCCTAGTGTAGGGATTGTGTTTTCACAGTTTCTTCCAGAAATGCTTTTTTTTCCTGTTATTTTCACAATATATCTTTCCTAAGAGGGTTCATGGAAGAATTGCCTCATTGTAAAAGTGCTTTTACTTGTGTAAAACTGTAGCTGCCGGTGCAGATAATTGTAACTATGTTTCTGCACCATGACCACAGAATAAGTTCTGTTACATATAAGTAAAAGTTTCAACAGATTAGTTTCTACTTTTTTCTGAAGATTAAAAAAATCTCTTTTATTGAACTTTTATCAGTAAGCTTTCTTTTTTTCTTTTAAAACATATCTTTATGGTTTAATGTATTACAGATGTTCCCCCCCTTTTCACCCCATTGACCCCTCCTCCCCACTCCTGTCCCCCTCCAGCCTTCCCCACACTATTGTCCATGTCCATTGGTTGTGCATATATGGATAGAAGTTCTTTGGTTTATCTCTTCTAACCCTCCTTCTCCCCTTCCCTTTGAAGTTCATCAGTCTAACAACCAATTTGTACTTTTTAATCTCTTCTTTTTCACCCATACCCCTAGCCCCCTCCCATCTGGCAAGCAACAAAAAGTTCTCTGTATCTATGAGTCTATTTCTGTTCTGCTTGCTCATTTTGTTTGTAGATTCAATTGTTGATAGATATGTATTTATTGCCATTTTTTTTATTTCTATTTTATTTTATTTTATTTTTTTGGTGTGTGCCCCCAGCGGGAAGCGAACCCAGGACTCTCTGGTCTGCAGGCCAACGCTCCAACCACTGAGCCAAACCAGCCAGGGCCTTTATTGCCATTTTTATTGTTCATATTTTTTGTTCTTCTTCTTCAAGAAGACCCTTCAACATTTTATATAATACTGGTTTGGTGGTGATGAACTCCTTTAGCTTTTTCTTGTCTGGGAAACTCTTGATATGTCCATTGATTCTAAATGATAGCTTTGCAGGATAGAGTAGTCTTGGTTGTAGGTCATTGTTTTTCATCACCTTGAATATCTCTTGCTACTCCTTTCTGGCCTACAAAGTTTCTTTTGAGAAATCGGCTAACAATCTTATGGGAGCTCCCTTGTAGGTAACTAACTGCTTTTCTCTTGCTGCTTTTAAGATTCTCTCTTTGTCTTTAACCTTTGGCATTTTGATGATGATGTTTCTTGGTGTGGACCTGTTTAGGTTCATCTTGTTTGGGACTCTCTGTGCTTCCTGGACTTGCATGTCTGTTTTCTTCATCAAGTTAGGAAATTTTTCTGTCATTATTGTTTTAAATAGGTTTTCAATTCTTGGTCTCTCTCTCCTCCTCCTGGCACTTTATGATGTGAAAGTTGGCATGCTTCAAGTTGTCTCAGAGGCTCCTTACACTATCCTCTTTTTTTTTGGGGGGGGGGATTCTTTGTTCTAATTGGGTGTTTTTTCCTTCCTTATATTCCAAATCAATGTTTGCTTCTTGGCTTCACCAACTCTCCTATTGGTTCCCTGTAAATTATTCTCTATTTTAGTTAGTGCATCCTTCATTTCTTTGTTTGTTTGTTTTAATAATTTATTTTTGTTACAGATGTTTCTCCTTTTTCCACCATTGACACCCTCTTCCCCACCCCACACTACCCCCAGCTTTGTTGTCCATGTCCATTGGTTATGCATGCATGCATATAAGTTCTGTGGTTTATCTCTTCCCTCCCCCACACCCTCTCTTCTGAGGATTTTCAGTCTGTACCCTGCTTTCAAGTTTCTGGGTCTACCCTGTTCCTCAGACTATGTTCATTATATTCCACAAATAAGTGAGATCATATGATACTTGTCTTTCTCTTCTTGGCTTGTTTCAGTTAGGATAATACTCTCCAGGTCCCTCCATGTCATCTCAAAGGATAAGAGATCTTTCTTTCTTATAGCTGCATAGTACTCCATTGTGTGTATGTACCACAGTTTTTTATCCATTTGTCTAATGATGGACTCTTAGGCTCTTACCAGATCTTAGCTATTATAAATAGTACTACTATGAACATAAGGGTGCATATATTTTTTCTGATTGGTGTTTCAGGCTTCTTAGGGTATATTCCTAGAAGTGGGATTACTGGGTCAAATGGCAGTTCAATTTTTAATTTTTTGAGGTAACACCATAGTGTTTTTCATGGTGGCCGCACCAGTTTGCATTCCCACCAGCAGTGCACTAGAGTCCCCTTTTCTCCACACCCTCGCCAACACTTGTTTGATGATTTGTTGATGGCAGCCATTCTGACAGGTGTGAGGTGATACCTCATTGTTGTTGTTGTCGTTGTTTATTTTCACCCAAGGACAGGGTGAGGACATTTTTTTGCATTTATCTTCAGATAGAGTGGGAGGGAGAGAGGGAGGAACAGAGAGAAACATTGATGTGAGAGAGACACATAGAGTGGCTGCCACCCACACAACCCCAACTAGGGCCAGGGACAAACCGCAACCGAGGTACATGCCCTTAGCGGGAACCAAACCCAGAACTCTCTGGTCCGTCAGCCAATGCTCTAACTGCTGAGCCAAACCAGCCAGGGCCCTCATTGTTGTTTTATTTATTTTTTATTTTTTAAATTTTTTATTTATTAATTTGTTTTTGTTACAGATGTTTCTCATTTTTTCCCCCATTGACACCCTCCTCTCCTTCCCCGTACCCCATTCCCAGCTTTGTTGTCCATGTTCATTGGTCATATATACATGCACGTGGTGTTACCTCAAAAAGTTAAAAATTGAACTGCCATTTGACCCAGTGATCCCACTTTTAGGAATATACCCTAAGAGACCTGAAACACCAATCAGAAAGAATATATGTGCCCCTATGTTCATAGCAGCAGTATTTACCATAGCTAAGATCTGGAAACAACCCAAGTATCCATCAGTAGATGAGTGGATTAAAAAACTCTGGTGCATGTACACAATGGAATACTCTGCAGCTGTAAGAAATAAAGATCTCTTGTCCTTTGAGATGGCATGGAATGACCTAGAGAGTATTATGCTAAGAGAAACAAGCCAAGCAGAGAAAGACAAATATCACATGATCTCACTTATTTGTGGAATATAATAAATTAAACAAACTGCTGAACAAAATTAACCCAGAGACATAGAGGTGGGGTACAGACTGACAAGCCTCAGATTTGGGGGTTTGGGGGTGAAGAGATAAAACATCCTTCATTTCTGACTGGTCCTTTTTTATGCTCTTAAGATCCTCACTAAGTTCCTTGAAGTTCTAATGAAGTTTCTTGAAATTCTCACTAAGTTCATTGAGCATCCTTATAACCAGTGTTTTGAACTCTACATCTGTTATATTGCTTATCTCTGTTTCATTTATTTCTTTTCCTGGAGTTTTGTTCTGTTTTTTTTTTTCATTTGGGCCATGTTTCTTTGTCCCCTCATTTTGGCTGCTTCCCTGTGTTTGTTTCTATGTATCAGGTAGAGTTGCTATATCTCCTAGGCTTTGCAGGGTGACCTATTGTAGTAGATGTCCTATAGGGTCCAGTGGCACAGCCTCCTGGTCACCCCAGCTGGGCCCTCAATGTGCACCTCTCGTGTGGACTGTTTACCCTTCTGTTGTAATTGAATCTTGATTGCAGTCTCATTGTGGCTTCTTCTTTAAGTTGTAGGACTTCCATTCAGCTTGATTTCAGGCGGTTCTGAATGATGTTTGTTCTGTAGTTTAGTTGTAATTTTGTTGTGGTTGTGGGAGGAGGAGAGTTCCACATTTACCTATGTTGCCATCTTAACCAGAAGTCAAGAACTTTCTCATCATTACAACTGGAAAATTAATCTGGTTTTTGTCTTTATAGAGTAATGCATTAATCAGTTATGTGAAAGCACTTATTCCTTTTGTCTCCCTTTACATAGTGATAGAACTTGTGCCTGAATCGCTATACTAAGTGTCTCTGAGCTGCCCCAAGTTCTGGGAAGTGGATAGGAGTAGACTTCATTGTTTGTATGTGAGAACACAAATATAACAGTACTTAGCAGCTCCTGTGAGCGTTAGAATCAAAAGCACTTTTTAAACTGGGAGGGAGGGAGGTATAACTATTCTATGAGTAATCCTAGTATGTCTGAAACAAGGACATAACTCAAATTGGAGCACATCTTTAGGTCACAGGGTTCTGACGACACCCTGTTAATACCTCTTCTTTTGCCCTCTAGTTGTGTTTATCGTTGGCAGCAGAATGTACAGGAAGGTCCAGCCCCAGGGTAACATCATGGGTAAAGTAGTCAACTGCATTGGGGTAAGTATCTCTCCGTGGCATTTAGTCACCCCAGGACCTTCCACCTCCTTCAAATTAAAATCCAATGAGGTGTGCCCTGGCCGGTTTGGCTCAGCAGTTAGAGCGTTGGCCTGTGGTCCGGAGAGACCCGGGTTCAGTTCCTGCAAAGGGCACATACCTCGGTTGCAGTTTGTCCCTGGCCCTGGTTGGGTCGTGTGGGTGGCAACCACTTGATGTGTCCCTTTTGCATCGATGTTTCTCTCTCTCTCCCTCCCACTCTATCTGAACAGAAAATGGAAAATTTTCCTCGGGGGAGGATAAAAAATAAAATTAAAAAATAAAATAAAATAAAATCCAATGAGGTGTTGACTTTCCTCTATGCATTTTATTAGTGCTCTTTACTACAGAGGTGGGCAAAAGTAGGTTAAATTACCAGCCATCATTACCTAAAAGGCATATCACAAGTAAGGATACAAAATAACAACAATAAGAAGAAGACAAACAATTCAAATAAATAATACAATGATTAATAAATAATAATATAAGAATAAACTGTGTTTTGCATACTCATAGCTGTAAACCTACTTTTGCCCACCCCGTATTTTGATAAATTGATGTTTCTTATAAAACTTGTCACATGGAAAAGGACACAAAACAGAACTCAAAAAAGGAGGGATGGAAATGACCCTTAAACTTATAAAATAAGATCAATGATCAAAGAAAATCGAACCAAAGGGACTTCACCCATCGACATGGTGAACAGTGCCGGCCGCCTGGGCGGCAGTGGGCAGGGAAGAGGCGGTTCGGTTCCGCCTACGTGGGGTCTGAAGCCTGGCAGGACTCCCTTGATCCTCCTTTCAGGAATCGAGGCTAAAAAATAACTTTTAAAAATGAACACAAATTCACATTTGAAGATTATCAATGTAATGTTTACAACAGCACAAATGACACCACCAAACAAAACAAACATTTAGGGCAGCAAGCATGTACGTCCACCGGAAGCGGGAGAAGAGCCCACCTACAGGCGTCTGCGCAGCACAAGTTTGTCCTCAGAGGCTGTTTGGTGATGGGAACGTGCAGAACATGGTTTCTTCCATGTACATCTACAAGGTGTATGCACATACAGGCACGGTTAAAGTCAAGAAATAAATGATGAATGTGGGAATTTTTAAATAATAGAGTCAAATAGCTTTATTCTCCTACTTCCCCCCTTTTTTAGTGAATATATACAATGTATAATCAATGTGTCACTTATTTATTTTAAAAAAATGATGTGGGTGGATAATTTTTTGAATGTAAAGGCAGCCTTAAGATACTATTAGTCCCTGGCCAAGTCATTCATTTGATTGGATTGTCATCCCATACAGCAAAAGGTTGTGGGTTTGAGTCCCCGTCAGGGCACAACCTAGGTTGTGGGTTCAATCCTCAGTCGGGGCATGTAGGGGAGGCAACCAATCGCTGTTTCCCTCTCACATCAATGTGTGTCTCTGTCTCTCTGTCTCTCTGTCTCTCTCTCTTGTCAATAAAAAAATATATCCTCAGGTGAGGATTAAAATATATATATAAATAATGTTAGGTCACTTTCCCTTTGCCTGACTTTTTTTTTTAATCCTCACTCAAGAATATTTTTCCACTGATTTTTTTAGATAGACTAGAAGTGGTGGGGAGAGAGAGAGAGAGAGAAACGTGGATGTGAGAGAGACATATTGATTGGCTGCCTTCTGCAAGACCCTGACCAGGGCCGAGGATGGAACCTGCAACACAGGTATGTGCCCTTGACCAGGAATTGAACTTGAAACACTTTGGTTCAAGGGCCAATGCTCTAATTGCTGAGCCAAACCTACCAGGACTGCCTGGCTTTATTGCATTAAATTATATATTTGCACTTTGTGAAATTAACATGTCCTATCAGGGTCAAAGACATTATTTTTCCTTTCAGGTATTTCTTTGTCCTTCAGTATTTTCCTCTAACAATTACATCGATCCCCATCACAAATTTTTTCCAAGCCAGGAAGGGATCTTACCAATGATCACTCCAAGTCCTTCTTTACCAAGTAATTGACAACTTAGTTCAAACTCCAAAAGAACAACATCAAGCTATTTAGAGTCATGAGACTTGTATTACCCAGGATCCAAAACCAGCCCTCAGCTTTGAGTCATTGCCTTTCAGTCACCTGCATGTCCCCGACCAGCCCCACCATCGCCTTCTCTTGCTGCTACATAGTTACAAATGCATTTGCTTTTCCTAAAGCCCTCTTACTAGCAAGGAATCCTAGAAGCCCCTAATTTTACGATGGTTGGTCAGTATATTTTTCTAATCAGTGTTACCATATTTTAAAATATGTTTAACTATAACTTTTTTTAGTGAATCCATTTCTGTGTAGTGGGTTCTCACTATCCTTTGAGGGGCTATAACCCACTTATAAACCTTCGCTGTAATATGGTAGCCACTAGCCACACATGGCTATTGGACATTTGAAAAGTGCAAGTTCAACTAGGGAACAGAATTTTAAATTGGATTTCACTTAAAGTAATTTACATTATATAGTACCTTATATTTGTATTTCTATGAAGTGGGCTCTTTTAAACCTAAAAACCAATATTTAATTCAATTATTGGAAAACTTTAAAGTATGTTTGGAACAACTTAGGTATGTAAATCTAGTTTTTCAAAGATAAATTTTATGAAATGTAAATACAGATCAAATATTCTCAGTAAAAATTTAGCATTCAAATTAAAATGTGCTATCAGGGTAAAGCATACCCTGGGTTTCAAAGACTTGGTATAAAAAAAGAAGGTAAAACGTTTTATGAATTTTTAAAATATCGATTACATATTAAGGTCATGTTTTAGGTTTGTTGGGTTAAAGAAAATACATTTAAAATTAATTTTACCTGTTTCCCTTTTGCTGTTTTTTCTTTTTTTTTAAGAATCAGACTTTTGAAGTACTTTATCTATTTTTATTTTTTCCAATCACCATTACTTTGTTGTTGTTGTTGTTAATCCTCACTCCAGGACATTTTTCCATTGATTTTTAGATAGAGTGGAAGAGAGGGAGGTAGGGTGGGAAGCGGGGGGGGGGGTTGGTGAGGGGGGGGATCAGTTGACTGCCTCCCACACAACTCCAACCAGGGCAGGGGATTAAATCTGAAACCCAGACACATGACCTTGACTAGACTCGACCTGAGACCCTTTGGTCTTTGGGCTGATGCTCTAACTGCTGAACCAAATTGGCTCCATCACCATTGCTTTTTAATAATGACTATCAGAAAACAGAAATGTTACCCATTATTTCTATTGAATGCTACTCTCTGGAGAGTAGAGTAGTAACAGTGTGAGTTTGTTTACCCTAACTCTACACTTGAAGTTAGTAAGAGATTAGAAATAAATGTGTCTTGACTTTTAGTATTTTTCTTATACTAGTGTATACAATTTTACATTTTGTTTCTTTCACAAGTTTTCAATTAAAAGCAGTTTAATTGAACTGTGTTTCCCTGATAAAGTAATCGGTTCTGTTTTTGAAATTTGCTTTTTTTTTTTTTTTTCATTCCTTCCTTCAGTTTGCCATCAAAAATAGGTTTAGGCACCGGAGTAAGGAATTTCCCAAGAGGGAGCACTGGCTGGACTGGGCCCAAGAGAAGTATGACGTAAGTGAGCAGTACTGCTGCCGTGGTCCCGGGCACCTCTAGAAAGTGAGCCTCCACAGGTGCAGCCCATGCTGTTAAGGCTTTGTGGGCAAGATGACCCGCTGTGTCTTGGAACCTTCATCAGCATGTTAAATAAGACTCTGGGAGTGTGATTTTTTAATATTGAGGAGAACTTGATAATCAAGGGATATCATTTATCTGAGAATAATAGTACCTTGTCATAGATTTTCATTTGGTACAATCTGCCAATTAACATAGGTAATTGTGATCACATAACTTTAGTTTGAATACAGAAGAGTTAAGTGGTGGTGGAGTTTACATTTAGTAGAATTTAAATGTAAACTCGAGCAATTTACCTCCTAAAAAGACAGTTTCACTCAGATTTTAAATAGCTGAGGAAGTTTGGGTTTTCTAAAGGAACCTGGGGTAGGGTTCTGTGGAACTTAAGGCCACCACCCACTTGTCTCCAGATGCAATTAAGTCTGCACTGAAACTAGTTGCTGATGACTGTGCCACAGTCCTGTCTGATCTGTCCCCCCCCCCCCCAACCACAGGAGCGGCTTATCTCTCAAATCAAGATGGTGACCAGGGTGATGTTCCTGTATATTCCGCTCCCCATGTTCTGGGCCTTGTTTGATCAGCAGGTAATGTGAAACTATGTTTTTGTACATCTCCGTGTAGCAAGTTCTTTGGGCTCTACCATGTATCAAGCCATAGTTATCTCATTTTCAAAAATGTTCTCTTCCAGTTTATCTTTTGTTTATTTGATCACTTAATCACACTGAGTCTCTTCTTTATTTTTATTTTTTGTTGTTAATCCTCACCCGCAGACAATTTCTCATTAATTTTTAGGTAGAGTGGAAGGGAAGGAAGAGGAGAGGGGGGGGAGAGAGAGAGACAGAGAGAGAGAGAGAGAGAGAGAGAGAGAGAGAGAATGAATGAATGAGAGAGAGAATGAATGAATGGAAGAGAGACAGACAGACAGACATTGATGTGAGAGAGACACATCAATCTGTTGTCTCCTCCACGACCCCGACCAGGGCTGGGGATGAACCTGCAACCCAGGTATGTGCCCTTGACTGAGAATTGAACCTGTGACCCTTCCATCAGCGGGCCAACACTCTAACTGCTAAGCCAAACCAGCCAGGGCCTGAGTCTCTTTTTAAAAAAAAAAAACCTGCTCGAGGTGATTCTATCCACATCTCCATTGCAAAACAATGAAGAAATTAGCTGTGGTAGAGTAAAGGAGCCTTAGGAAAGATTTGATCAAAATGTCCAAGACTCTTTAGAATTAAAACTGAGAATAAAGAAAAAGAAAACTAAACACAAACTGAGAATAAAGAGCTTCTCTGTTGATACACCATGGTAAGTGGATGTATTACCTTGTATGGGATCCACAGAATATTTAAACTGACAGGGACTTAATATCTTTCTATCTAAAGTGGAATGCTTGGTTTAGAAGTACCATCCAGGGATGCAAAAATGATTCCCCAGAAGCCCTTCTTACCAGAGCAGGGAACTAGAACCCTGGCCATTGCCCCGTGGCCCTGCTCTCCCCCCACAGCTGTGCACTGCATGCCTGGGAATTGTTAACACAGGGTTAGATAACACAATGTGTGATGCCTCCTGGTCAAAGTGATAAGATATTATTATTCCTTTTAGAGACTGGAGTTTTAAAAAAATTTACAAACATGCGTAGTTTTATTGTACAGGAAGGATTATTATAAGGGTAAACCTCTCTTGGAAAAAAATGTGAGCGTACACATTAATCTCCTTATTTGTAAGTATGGAATCTAGAACAGCACTTTAAAGACCAGGAGGCAGTTTTGCACGTTGAACACAAACCTGTTATTGAATTTGGACTTGCACTAGAAATACACTCATCACGTTTTAGCTGTGTGAATTGGGGTAATCCCTTAACCCTTCTGAAAGGCTGTGAGAATCAAAATAAAGAGTGTATATAAAGTAATCAGAGACTGGCCTATATTAAGAATTGGAACAGTGGCATATTTCCTGACTTTCGGTGATGACCTCCTAGTGGAGTTGATAGATTATGTTGAAACACTTACATCTTTAGTCCTCTGTGGAAATAATAATATATACAGTACAGTCCTGAGTCATCCTTTCCTATAAAATAGGTTGAATGTAATGAGGCTGCTCAGGTTTGAATTCATTACTGTCTTCATGGAATCACATCTGAGGACAGCCGAGGCTGTCAAATTTGATTCTGAGCGATAACAATGTCCTCGAAACTCTGATGCCAGTCAATATAGAGTATCCTTGGGCTGTGAGGTGTTTTCACCTGGCAGGTGACATCTTGCTTCTCACCAAGCCTCAGAAATGCGTTTTTGTCTTTCCCAAGGAAAGCTTTGTCTCAGAGTAGAACTTTGTAGACTCCTTGTGAGGGGCGGGGGTACCATGTGTTACGTTAACTTGTAGAGCAGAAATGCACATTGTTTCTTCCTACACAGTAGCACAATGGTGCTGGGAGACGAACTTGATGTTGGAAAAAATTTTTAATCCATTCCTGATTTGGGAAAAAACTCAACATTGACTTGTAAAATGTTTAAGCCCATGCTCCCAAATGATGCAGTAAACGTATTTGTTTTCAAGGGCTCAAGGTGGACACTACAGGCAACGACCATGAATGGGAAAATTGTAAGTTTCAGACACCAAGAGATTTTACCTCCTCTGGTCACTATTCCTTGTTTTAGTCCCTTTGCCCCCTTTCTCCTTCCCTTTCATGACATTCTTAAGTCCCCAGTTGACCATCTGTGGGAACTTATCAATGAGACTCCCTCCTCCCCATTTTTAGGGAATTCTTGAAATTCAGCCGGATCAGATGCAGGTAAGAGAACATCTTTAAGTTGCTTTCAGAGATCAAGTCACCTTTGAGACAGTGGTAACAGTTCATCTCCACTTCATCTGCAGACTGTGAATGCCATCTTGATTGTTATCATGGTCCCCATCGTAGATGCTGTGGTCTACCCTCTGATTGCAAAATGTGGCTTCAATTTCACGTAGGTGACCGGCGGGCTGGGGTCGGGGTGAGGCTCCATCAGTCCTAGGGCTTTGCCACGAGGCTGTACCCCCTCAGCTTCCAGGCCTCCGTGGAAAAAAGATGTCTCCCCTCCCATAACATCACTTTTATGACGGAGCTTTTAAAGCCAGTGGTTCTCACCCTCCCTAATGCCGTGGCCCTTTAATACAGTCCTCTTGTTGTGGTGACCCCCAACCATAAAATTATTTTCATTGTTACTTCATAACTGTACTTTTGCTGCTGTTATGTCTTAGGCGACCTCTGTGAAAGGGCCGTTCGACCCCCAAAGGGGTCATGACCCACAGGTTGAGAACCGCTGTTTTAAAGAAATACCTTTGAGCCCTGGCCAGATGGCTCAGTGGGTTGGAGAGTCATCCCATGCACCAAAATGTTGTGGGTTCAATCCCTGATCGGGGCACATACAGGAGGCAACTGATCAATGTTTTTTCTCTCTCTCTCTCTTTTCCTTCCTCTCTAAAATTAATAAAAACATATCCTTGGGTGAGGATAAAAAAACTTTTTTGAAATACATTTGAATTAGATGTCTGTATGTGGATGTTTCTGAAAACTTAATAAAAGTGCTATTACTGCAGCCTGGAAACACCTGTGATTTAGGCTCTCATGTAGCTGGGGGTTCGGAACAGGCTTCCTCAGGAGCTGCCACTGGGGCCTAGAGAGTAATTTTGGGGGCCAGTCTAGACCTTTCGGACTCACGAAAAACTTTTACCTCTCCCTTAAAGAATTTAAATGTGGGGGCTTGCCTATAATGAGTCATTACCAGAAATAACTTTTCATGACTTATCTAAATGGCAGGGTAAATATCTGAACCACGGCTTTTCTTGTTCCCTTGCAAACTGCCTTCTCCCCCTCTGTAGCCTCGTTACCTTCCATGAGGCTTCTTACCTCATTGCTTGACTCAGGATGCATGTATGTCTCATTTCCCTTTGTGTTTCTGAACCTCTCATGTATGTGTGGTCCTGGACCTCTCATATGTGTGGGGTTCCCATACATAATATATTAATTCAATGTGGTTACTTTCTCTTGTTAATCTATCTCACGTCGATTTAATTATTAGACCCACAGAAAGAACCTAGAACGGTAGAGGGAAATTCCTTCCTCTCCCATAATCTAGATGATAGAAATGTTAATTAGAATCCAAATTATTGCCCACATTATAATTTCTAGAAAGTAAGTGTAAAAATGCAAATGAGAAGCTGGAATACATTTAGCGTCCCGAGTCTGGGTCATGAATAACAGAGGAAGAGATGCCTTTAATTTCATGTGTTTGGGAAGGGAAGTTAGTTTTGTTTGGGGGTTTATCATGACCTTGTTTGTATGAGGCGGGCTGGGTGTCACTCTCTTGCTTGTCCCTTCAGCTCCTTGAAGAAGATGACAGTAGGAATGTTCCTGGCTTCCATGGCTTTTGTGGTGGCTGCCATTTTGCAGGTGGAAATTGATGTGAGTTGCCCTGTGATTCTCCTGTGGCCTTTCTTGGCTCAGGTGGGGTGGTCAGCAGTCTTCTTTCTCCAGGACTGACAGGATTAGGGGAGACCACGACCTTTGCTGACAAACTCTCCTAGAGCTTTGGACGATGTACCACAGGGACAGAACAGTCCCATTCTGACCTCATGGACTGCGGGGTCTCATCTCTGCAGAGGGTGCAGCCAGGAATCGGGTCAGATGGATCCAGTTAATTAGGAGAAAAACTAGATGGCTGTTATGTAAGGAGCTTCCATTGCCGTTTTCATAATGGGACAGAAGTTTATGGAACTTATTATTTTATGAACTCCTAAAATATATAGTTAAAAGAAGTTCAGCACTCACAAAGTACTGTAAAGCTATGTAAATTGTCTTTTTGATGGGCTTCTTCCCGTTTGTACTCTAAGTTTCTAATGATGCTAGTTCCCAAGCTAATTCACATGTCGGTTGGACCCACATGGGGCCCTTAGTCTGAGATCAGGTCCAGAAACCAGGAGTTATGTAGTAAGTGAGATAAGAGGTAATAGGGAGGACTCTCTCTCTCTCTTCCCCCCTCTCTTCCCTCACACCCCCTCTCCCCATCCCTGCATCCCTCCCTCTCCCTCATTCCCTCTTTCCTTCTCTCTTTTTTAATTTGTATTTTTGTGATAGAATATACACAATAAAACTACCATCTTGAGCATTTCTAAGTGTGCAGCTCAGTGGTAAGTATATTCACATTATTGTGCACACAGTATTCAAATGCTTCTCATCTTCTCAAATGGAAACCTATATTCCTCAATAGCTCCCCATTCCTCCCCCACCCCCAGCCCCCGGTAACCACCATTCTACTTTCTCTCTCTATGAATTTGAATATTCCAGACACCACATTAAGTGGGATCCTGCAGTATTTGTCCTTTTGTGATGGGCTTATTTCATTCAGCACAGGGTCCTCAAGGTCATCCCTGTGGAGCATGGGTCGGAATTCCCTTCCTTTTTGAGGCTGAATGATATTCTGTTATACAGATGTAGCACATTTAGTTTCTCCATTCATCTGTTGATGGACACTTAGGTTGTCCCACCTCTTGGCTATTATGAATAATGCTACCATGATCACAGGTGTACTCACTTTCCCTCGAACGTAGCTCGCTTTGTGGAAAATGAATTGTGGGGCTAAAACAGAAATAGATTGCTTTAGTGACACTGGGGTTTGAGAGAGGGCATGCAGGGAAAAGCAGAAACCCCGAGAAAAGGTGTGGAGGCGTGAGGGTATACGGCATTTGTGAGGGGCTGTTTAGGGCACCGTGTCCAGGGCTGAGGTCTGGGCTTCCGGGGTTTCAGGGGAGGCACCCTGGGGAGCAGGTCTCAGGTGCCACAACGAGGTAAGAATTCATTGACGCTATGGTTAGTCTGATCCCTCAGATAGATAATAGGCTTCATAACCTGGCATCCCTTCACCTGGAGGTAAATAAGTAGGTCCAAGGTGGGAGCAAGAACAGCCTCTTTCTGATCACGTCCACGTTCTGTACAGACATCGTTGTCCGTGGGCGCCATGACGTGAGCCACCGGAGGCTTTGCGGGGTTTGGTGAGCCTCGGCCAGCACCATGTCCATGGCTGAGGAGAGACCCTAGTGCCCAGGGTAAGGCCTAGTCCATGCCAACTGAAGATCTCACTGCCAACTGTCTTTTATTTTGCTCAGAAAACTCTTCCAGTCTTCCCCAAAGGAAATGAAGTCCAAATTAAAGTGTTCAATATAGGAAATAATAACATGACTGTATATTTTCCAAAAGAGATGGTGGACCTTGGCCCAATGTCTGATGTAAGTAGAAGAAACTGTTTTTTGGGGGTTTTTTTGTATTGTCTGACATGAGTTATAATAAGATTTGCAAAATCTGATCTCCTTGGTCCCTGTATAAATTCCAAGACAAGCCCAGAAGTGAAATGTCTTAGTATCTTGATCTCCTTTTAGCTTCACACCAGACTAGTGCACCTCAAACTTCAGTGTGCATATGAATCTTCTGGGGGCTTGTTAAAATGCAGGTTCGTGATCAGTAGGTCTGAAACCTTCCTTTTTAACAAGCTTTTAGGTGATGTGACTGCTGCTGGTGCGTGGACCCACACGTTAACAGCAAGGTCCGCATCACTGGTCCTCCACCAGGGGCACTATATCTCGGGGGAGATTATGGAACTTACTCTTTAGCAATATGAACTCCTAAAAGATCTAGTTAAAAGAGTTCAGCACTCACAAAGTACTGTAAAGCTGTGCAAATTGTCTTTTTGATGGGCTTCTTCCCTTTTGTATGCTAACAATAGCTAGTTCCCAAGCTAATTCACACGCCTGTTGGACCCACATGGCGCTAAAATGCCCTTAGTCCAAGATCAGGGCCTAGAAATCAAGTGTTATGTAGTTAAGGGACATTTGACGATCTCTGGAGACATTTTTTTGTTTTCACAACTCAGAGCGTGTTATAGGCATCTCCTATGTAGGAGCCAGGATGCCAGCACACAGCCCCCACTCCCAACCCCCAGCAAAGAATTATCTAGCTCCATAGTGCCGAGGTTGGAAAACCCTAAATGTGGACAGTCATTGGTCTGGATTAAAGGTTCTCAATCTTGTATGCATAACCAATGGACATAGACAACAGTGCTGGTTGGGAGGGGGCACAGGGGGGCAGGATGGGGAGGAGGGTGTCTAGGAGGGAAAAAGGAGAAATATCTGTAACAAAAATAAATTAATAAAAATTGGGGGAAAAAAAGGTTCTCAATCTTGAGTCCTTATTGCAGTCACCTGGAGAGCTTTGAAAATTCTGATACCTGCGTCCCACCCCCACAGGTTTTGATTGAACTGGTCTCACTCCTGTTTAGAGACAGTTGAGAACCACTGCCTTAGATCTTGCCAAACTAATAATCTTGAAGTAAAAAGGAAGTGTGACTCCTAATGCTTGGGGCAACTCAGTTCTGATTATCTCCAGGGCTGATGCTGTTCTTTGCCCAATGATAGAAGTGATTTCCATAGCCTTTATCTTCATAGAACAATATAAAAGTAAAATGCTGGATGAGAAGTGTAATTCCTGTGATAGTACTAAACAACTTCACGACAGAATCTATAAAGTGGAAAGCCAAGGCACACCAATACGCCCTGGCTGGTTTGGCTCAGCGGTTGGCGCATCAGCCTGTGGACCAGAGAGTCCCGGGTTCGGTTCCCGCTAGGATTACGTACCCCCCCCCCAAAAAAAAACACACCAATGCCAGCTCCCACAAGGCATTTTTCAACGTGTATGAACGTGCACTGGGAATGTCTAATAATACGCCACAGCAGTGTTCAGTTACACAGTGCAGAGCAAAACTCTGCAGTGTTAACTGTGTATGGCTCCTTTTCCCCCGTTACAGACAAAAGAATTTATGACGTTGAATGTGGACGAACTGAGAAGTATAAACATTTCTTTTCCTGGATCACCAATCACTCCAGTAACTCCTGACTTTGAGCAGGGCCATCGCCACAGCCTTCTAGCGTGGGCCCCCAGTCAGTACCTAGTGGTGAGTAGCTGGACAGCTGCCGCTGACCCTTTCCTAATGTGATACTGGAGACAGAGTCTTTTAGTGGTGTGACTTTGTTACCCCTATGCTGCATTACATTAGATAACCCTCAATTTCTTCCTTCTTCAACGACACAAGTCGTTTGACTTCCAGTAAAAGTTTGACTGTGGATGGGAAGGGTTGATATTAAATTGGTTTTGTTTTTGCATTTAAAAGTAACTTTATTAAAGTTTAGAGCAGCTGTCTTATACAGAGTTTGATATGATATGGCTACCAATAACCAGAGCACACATCACGTCACTGAGCTTCGGGGATGACGCTCTCCTTTGCTAACACTTAGTGCCGTGGCACTGGCTGGGCTCTGCACGACAGGGCACCTGCCTGTGGGGACTCCCCAACTCTCCCGCTCCCACCTTCGGACTTGGGCATTATTAGTCCTGAGAAGAAAGTCCAGAGCCTTTTCTGTGATACTTATAACTTACTTTGCTGCAGTTTTAAAAGGCTGAGACACTTGTGAATTTCAAATGTAAAAATGGAAAGTAAAGTATTTGTCCAGATAAATTGTGCTAGAAAATGAAAGGTTTTATTTACAATTTATACAACTTCATAAAAAATTTTTTTTTAATTTAAAAAAGCACGGTTCATGGGGTGCCAGGGCCATGGGAAACAGATCAGTCCTAAATAGATGTAAAAGCTGCAACGAAAGGAAGATACTTTGAGAGGAGAAGATTCTAGAAGTTCCTATTGATAAAGGCATGGGAGATGGCCAGGAGATAACATCATGGTGAAGGAGACCAAGAGCCAGGACTGGAGCGAGGGGATGTTATCATTGTTTAGGTCAGGACCATGCTGTTTTCACTTCCTGGGGAGGACCTTCCCATGGGTATGGACATGCAGCTGCGTGAAGCATTCTGTGGCTTCCAAAAGCCAATAGCTACTCTTGACAACTGAACCATAGTCATCACCTCTCATCCTGGTCAGATTGTCAAGCAGTGAGGTACCAAATGTGTGCCAAATGAAGGCATGCCAATGTATCATCCACCATAAGAAAGGGTCATCTGATTACCATATTTAAGGCAAACTTTCCTGAAAATGGCTTTCTCTCTCCTGATAAACTCTGTGCTGGAAAAACTCCTACCAAATCTCCATTACAATGGAGAAGCATATGAGGATGATGAACATCATCCTAGGGGTGGTGTTCAGTGTTAGACCTCTTAATAGGGCCGATGAATAACCCTCACTGCTGGCATTTTATATACAGTAGTGAATGAGTAAAGCACTATAATCATAATAGGCTCACAACTTGCTATTGTTTTTGTTTTAATATTCAACTATAGTAGTGTTTTAAAAGTTAAATGAAGAATAAACTCAAATATAAAACTCAAAAAAAAACAAAACATTGTTCAGAATCCAGTACCAGCTACGTTAAACATTTTTTTGTTTGAAAAAAACTGGTAATATACCTGTTTTTAAATAATTCAAACATATCATTAAATGAACTAACTTTGATCGAATGTTTCTTAAGATGAGTTTTAAACAGAAAGGTTAACGTAATTTAAGCACATTTTATTAAATATGCAGATATATCTGTCAAGAGTAAATGTGAGCCCTGGACAGTTTGGTTTAGAAGCTGGAGAGTTAGCCCGTGGACCAAAGGGTCTTGGGGTTGATTCCTGGTCAAGGGCACGCACCTGGGTTGCAGGTTCAATGCCCGGCCCTGTTCAGGGTTGTGCGGGAGGTAGCTAATCAATGTGTCTCTTTCACATTGATGTTTTTTTCTCTCTCTCTTTCTCTCTCTCTTCCCCCTTGCCTTCCACTCTATCTGAAAATCAATGGAAAAATATCCTCTAGTGAGCATTAATGGCAACAACAAAAAGAATAAATGTCAGCTTTATTTAGAATATTTAGGTACAAAATTTTTTAAAAGAAATTTTGAGTGCCCTGGCTGGGTGGCTTAATTGGCTGGAGCATTGTCCCCTACACCAAAAGGTTGCAGATTTGATTCTCGGTCAGGGCACATACACAGGTTGTGGGTTTGACCCCCGGTCAGGGCATGTACAGGAGGCAACTGACTGATGTTTCTCTCTCTCTCTCAAAAATCAGTAGAAAGATATCCTCCAGTGAGGATTTTTTTTAAAAGAACTTTTGAACATAGTGTGTGTGTGCGTGTGTGTGTGTGTACATATACACAAGTCACACAGAGTACATATGTGCATTCTCAGTGACTTTTTGAGATAAAGTTTAAAATATATCTTTAATTGTATTAATTAAATTAATTTTATTTTAAAATTAATTTTTAAATTAATTTTAAAAATTTTTCCTGAGCAATTGGGAAATTGGTGCAGTTTCTTTAAAAAGTATAGTGAACATATCAGGTAAAATATATAAAAATACATATAAAATATTTCATGACAAAATATAGGATCTAGATATACCTACCATTCAACATATAAAGAAGCTGTGAAGGTATAGCTGAACTAAATGAAGCAGTTGTGGAGAATCTGCAAGGTGAATTTAAGTGAGCTTCTACAGAACTGCAGTATAAAAATTAAGACTTCTGGGTCATGTGTTTAATTAGGGAGCTGTTGAATGGCTTGTTCTAAATTCTTGGAGAGCAGTGTTCTGTGGAACCACTGGAAAGCAAGCATCAAAAATTGTAGCCTCCTGTTAACTTCAAAGAAAACCAGGGCTAAAGATGGAGCCCTGCAAATATGATCATTATGCCCTTAGCTCCCAGGATAAATGTCAACATCATTCTCCTTTTCAGAGACTAAAATGGTCATCTAATGGTTTAAATATTTAAATGTTTTCTTTCGTAGGTAAACGATGGCCTTAACCAGAAGCCAGAAAAAGGACAAAATGGAATTAGGTATGTATATCCCTTTAAAAATTAAGTATCAGCTTCTTATTGAAGTAATGCATACCCATAGTAAAATCCAACTGTAATAAGAATATAAAATGAGAGTATGGGTTTATCCCAAGAAAGTAAGGCTGGTTCAATATTTTTTTAAAATTTAACCAATATAATTCATTATCTTAATAAACTAAAGAGGAAACCCCATAAAATCATATCAATTGATACAGAAAATGCATTTGATGAAATTCAGTATCCATTTATGAGAAAAACTCTCAGCAAACTAGTAATTGAAGGGAACTTCCTTACTCAGAAAAAGGACATCTAAAAAAAAAAATTCCTGAGTTACCATTATACTTAATGGTGAAAGATGAAATGCTCTCCCCATAAGATCAGAAATAAGGTAAAATCATCTGTTCTCTTTACTCATATTCAACACCCTCCCAGAGGCTAATGCAATAAGACAAGAAAAAGAAACTAAAAGTATCTAGATTGGCCCTGGCTGGTTTGGCTCAGCAGTTAGAGCATTGGCCTGCTGTCCAGAGAGACCTGGATTTGGTTCCCGCTAAGGGCATGTACCTCGGTTGCAGTTTGTCCCTGGCCCTGGTTGGGTCATGTGGGCAGCAGCCACCGGATGTGTTCCTTTCACATTGATGTTTCTCTCTCTCTCTCTCTTCCTATCTCTCCCTCCCACTCTATCTGAACAACAACAAAAAAAGTATCTAGATTAAAAAGAAGGAAATAAAACTCACTGCCACAAAACAAAAATATTTCTATACACCAGCAATGAACAATTGAAAACTGAAACTTTAAATACATTTACAATAGCTCCCAAAAAAGATGAAATACTAGTTATAAGTCTAAGAAAATATATATGGGATTTGAGAGTTGAAGATACAAAAGGTTTATGGAAGAAATCAATGAAGACCTAAATAAATGGGGAGATATGCTGGGTTCATTGATTACAAGACTTAATATTGTAAAGATGTCAGTTCTCCCCATATTGATCTGTGGGTTTAGTGTAATTCTTATCAAAATCATAGCATTATTTTTTGTTTAGTTTTTTCCAGTTTTATTGAGTTATAACTAACAAAATTGTATATAGTTAAAGTATACATTATCATGATTCAATATATGTATACATTGTGAAATATTTACCACAATTAAGTTAACATATGCATCACCTTACAGTTACTTTGTTTTGTGATAAGAATGCTTAAGATCTAATCTCTTAGCAAATTTCAAGTATACAATACACTATTATTACCTATAGCCACCATGTCATACATTAGATCCTCAGAACTTACTCATCTTAGAACTAAAAGTTTATACCTTTTCATCAGCATCTCCCCATTTTCCACCCCCTAGTCCCTGGCAACCACCATTCTACTCTCTATCTTATGAGTTCAGCTTTTTAAAAAAGATTTCACATATAAATAATACCATACAGCCCTGGCCGGTTTGGTTCAGCGGTTAGAGCGTCGGCCTGCGGTCCTGAGAGACCCGGGTTTGGTTCCCACTAAGGGCGCGTACCTCGGTTGCAGTTTGTCCCCGGCCCTGGTTGGTTGTGTGGGTGGCAGCCACTCAATGTGTTCCCTTCGCATCGATGTTTCTCTCTCTCTCTGTTCCTCTCTCTCCCTCCCACTCTACCTGAACAAAAAATGGAAAAGTGTCCTCAGGTGAGGATAAAAAAAAAAATATACCATACAGTATTTGTCTTTTTCTGACTGGTTTATTTCACTTGGCATAATGCTCTCAAGTTCCATCCATGCTGTCACAATGCCAGGATTTCCTTCTTTTTCTGGCTGATTAATATTCTGTTTTATATATGTATTTATATATATATATATGTAGACAGATTAGATAGATAGAATATATATTATATACACAACAAAAATTTTCATATATATGAAAATATTGATAAATTATATTCCAATCAAATGAAAAACATTTGTTCTAGAAATCTCACTCTTAAGAGAATGAAAGGATAAGCTACAGACTAGTAGAAAATATTTACAAGTGACGTATCTGATGAAGAATTTGTATCTAGAATATATAAATTACTCTCAAATCTCAATTATAAAAAAATAACCCAGTTATAAAAGAGAACAAAAGATTTTAACAGACATCTCACCAAAGAAGATATACAAATGACAAATAAACACATGAAAAATGTTCAACATAATCAGCCATTAAGGAAATAAAAAATTCAACCACAGTGGGTTTATGACACACCTATTGGATGGCTATAATACATTTTTTAATTGACAATGGATTATAGGTCCCACCCTAATGACATTTTATCTCTTTAAAGACCCTATCTCCAAATACAGTCACATTCTGATTGTTAGGATTTCAACATAGGAATTTGGGGTGAAAGGAATACAATGTACAACACCTTCTTTTGTATCTTCTGGATGTTGCTCTGTCCTGCGCACATGCACATACACAGCTGCCCTGGCATTTCCGAAAGGAAATACTGATTGTAGTCACCTGGCCCTTTCCTGATTTTTGTATTGGATTCTGAGCCAGAAACACCTCTGGGATTTCCTTTGTGCGTCAGAATGATCCATTGTTTCGATTTCTTCATAAATGTCTCCTATCTTTGTATATTTTGGACAATTTAAATTGTGGTATCCTTTCTTGTTTCAATGCTGTTAAAGCTTCATTCTTTTTTCTTTAATTGTCATTGTTGAGATCTTGGAAAAGAAGGATCCGTGAAATCAGCAACACTTTACCCCACCAACCCACCTGTGTGGTAAAAGATAAACCAGAAACTTTTTTCTTTTAATTGCAACATCACATCCTTAATGGATCCAAGGTTTTATTATGTCAGTAATGTTCAGGAGACAACCCTTTAAAAAGGGGGAAGTTCTGAAAAACTAGTCAGAAACTAGCTGATAAATAGAATAACTTCAAAAATTTCAGGAAGTCAGATTTCTAAGTAATATATGGATTAAACACAGAGCACACAGAATTTTAAGCAAAATGGTACCCTTTTAATTATGTGGTATCAGTAAGTTGCAAGACTTAAATAGACTACCCTAAATAGAGTCTTTTAAATAAGGTGGCAATACTTCAGTCAAAAATTGGTTGAAAATTTGATACTGATTTTTCTCATGCATTTTAGAAATTTTATTTATTGAATTTACTGGGGTGATGTTGGTTATAAATTTATTGAGGTTTCAGGTGTACAATTCTATAATACATTATTTGTATACTGTGTTGTGTATTCACCACCCCAAGTCAAGTCTCCTTTCATGACCATTTATCCTCCCTTTACCCACCCCCTCTCCCTTCACCTTTTTCATCTAGTCCTCCAACCCCTCTCCCTTCTGACAGCTGTCAGCCTGTTCCCTGTATCTATGAGTTTGTTTCTTGTTTATTTTGTTCATTAGATTTCACATATAAGTGAAATCATATGGTACTTGTCTTTCTCTGGCTTATTTCAATTAGCATAATACTCACCAGGTCTATCCATGCTGTCAGAAAGGGTGAGACTTCCTTCTTTTTTACAGTCCAGGAGTATTCCATTGTGTCAATATACCACAGCTTTTTTTATTCACTCATCTACCAATGGCCACTTGGGCTGCTTCCAAATCTTGGCTATTGTAAATAACACTGCAGTGAACATAGGGGTGCATATATTCTTTCAAATTAGTGTTTTGAGTTTCTTCAAATATGTTCCCAGAAATGGAATTGCTGGGTCATAAGGCTGTTCCATTTTTAAATTTTTGAGGTTACTCTATACTGCTTTCCACAGTGGTTGCACCAATCTGCATTCCCACCAACAGTGCAGAAATGTTCCCTTTTCTTCACATCCTTGCCAACACTTGTTGTTTGTTGATTTATTGATGATAGCCATTCTGACAGGAGTGAGATGATATCTCATTGTGGTTTTAATTTGCATTTAATGATTAATGACATTGAGCATATTTTCATGTCTGTTGACCATCTGTATGTCCTCTTTGGAGAATTGTCTCCAGGTCCTTTGCCCATTTTTCAAGTGGATTGTTTGTTTTGTTTAGTCTTGAGTTTTATGAGTTCTTTATAAATTTTGAATATTATCCCCTTCTCAAATGCATCATTGGTGAACATGTTCACCCATTCGGTGGGTTTCCTTTTCATTTTGTTGATGATTTCCTTTGCTGTGCAAAGACTTTTTAGTTTGATTTAGTCCCTTTGTTTATTTCTTTTGTTTCCCTTGCCTGAGGATTTGTATCAGAAAAAAATATATATTGTTACAAGAGATGTCTGAAATTACACTGCCTATATTTTCTTCCAGGATTTTGATGGTTTTGAGTCTGTCATTTAAGTACTTAATCCATTTTGAGTTTATTCTTGTGTATGGTGTAAGAAGGTGGTCTATTTTCATTTTTTTGCATGTATCTGTCCAATTTTTCCCACACAACTTATTGAATAGACTATCTTTACCCCCAGTATATGTTCTTGCCTCCATTGTCAAATATTAATTGACCATAAAGGTGTGGGTTTGTTTCTGGTCTCTCTCTTCTGTTCCATTGATCTATGTGTCTGTTTTTGTGCCAGTACCATGCTGTTTTGGTTACTATATCCTTGTAGTATAGTTTGATATCAGGTAATATGATCTCTCCAACTTGGTTCTTTTGTTTCTCAAGATTGCTGTGGTTATTTGGGACCTTTTGTGGTTCCATATAAATGTTTGGAATATTTGTTCTAGTTCCATGAAATATGCTATTGGTATCTTGATAGGAATTGCATTGAATCTATAGATTGCTTTGAGTAGTATGGGCATTTTAATGATGTTAACTCTTCCAATTCATGAACATGGTATATGCTTCCACTTATTTGTATCCTCTTCAGGGATTTTCTTCAGTGCCTTATAATTTTCCATGAAAACATATTTTACATCCTTGGTTAAATTTATTCCTGGATATTTTTTATGCAATTGCAAATGGGATTGTTTTCTTAGTTTCCATTTCTGATAGTTCATTATTGGTGTATACAAATGCAACTGATTTCTGGATATTTATTTTGTATCCTGCTATCGTATTAAATTCATTTATCAGTTATGATAGTTTTTTGGTGGAAATTTAGGATTCTCCATATATAGTATATGTCATCTGCAAATAATGACAGTTTTACTTCTTCCTATCTAATTTGGATACCTTTTATTTCTTCTTCTTGTCTGATTGTTGTGGCTAGAACTTCTAGTACTATGTTGAATAACAGTGGTTAAAGCAGACATCCCTGTCTTGTTCCTGATCTTAAGGGAAACGCTTACAGTTTTCCCAGAGAGTATGATGTTGGCCATAATTTTGTCATATATGACCTTTATTACATTTAGGTATGTTCCCTCTATTCCCAGTTTGTTGAGAGTTTTTATCATAAATGTGTTCTGGATTTTATCAAATGTTTTTTTCTGCATCTATTGATATGATCATATGATTTTTATTCTTCATTTTGTATATGTGGTGTATCACAATTATTGATTTGTGGATATTGTACCTACCTTCATTTGAAAAGTTGTAAAGGTTTTGACAAAAGGTGCATGGAAATTCACATGCAAAAGACTAAAGTTAGAACTTCCTGACCTGATACCATACACAAAAATGAACTCAATGGATCATAATTCTAATATAATGAAAATAATAAAATTTGTAGAAGAATGACAGTAGTAAATGTTTGTGACCTTGGGTTAGATAATGGTTTCTTAGGTATGAAACCAAAAGCACCAGAGGACATTTTTGCATTTATCTTCAGATAGAGCAGGAGAGAAGGGGGAAGAGAGAGAGAGAAACGTCGATGTGAGAGAGACACATAAAGTGGTTGCCACCCACACGACCCCAGGCAGGGCGGGGACAAACTGCAATCGAGGCTGAATTGCACACTTTAAATGGGTGAATTCTGTGGTGTGTAAAATTATCTCACAAAGCTATTTCTTTTTTAAATGAGAAGGAACCATCTCTTGGCACCTTGGATATTCTTTAAGGAACTGGTCCCATCTGGTCATTTTCTCAGCTGTTTCCCATTCTCCATACCTCATTCCATAATCACTTTGTAGCCTTATATCCTGGTACTCCTGAGAGGCCTCAGCTAATAGGAACCTTAATGGGACCCTAGGACTGACTGTGCCTGATCAAAGCTATTAGAGGACAACAGATCTTGGATTGGTGCTCTCTTCACCCCTCAAAGCACTCAGCATGTGTTTGCTGCTTATGCTGTACTATTTTCCATATAAAAACACATCTGATATGTATGATGTTGCATTTTTTCAGATTATTTTCATTATTTTGGGTATCTGGTACCAGCCTGAGACATATGTCAGGCAGGAAATAGTACCCTAGTCTTAGGGTGGGATTTATTCAGTCTTACAAGTTATAAAACCAGCACCCAGGCCCAAGGGTCTACTTCTTAACTTCATATTCTGCCCACTGTCTCTCTTCTGAATGGTTCATCTTAATCTTTGATAAAAGCAGCTTTGACAGTTTAGAGCACTATTAATTCTACCTATTAGGTTCCTGGTGACACACATCAGGTTCAGATTGCTTTATTAATCACCTGTCAAACTATACTAAGTCAAGTACTTAAGGATGTCCGACCTGAGTTTAATTCCTATGTTCTCAGCAACTTCTGCTTTTGGTCCTTCACCACTTTCGCTTCAAAGCTTCGGAAGCAAGGAATGCAAAGGCATCGCCCCTTCTTGAAGAGGAAGGGATCAGCACCTATTTCAGCCCGTACTTAATACCCCAGACATCACTGAAATAGTTTCTAGTTACAAAGTACTTGGAACAGTTCCTGGCATTTAACTGAATTAGATAAATTTAGGAGTGTCCTTGTGAGTAGGTGAGCAAAGGCAAACCCAAGTTGCTTACTTTCTGCCTTTCCTTGAGAGATCTTTTGTAAACATCTTCAATTCCTTCTGATAGGGAGCATAGCCCCACTTCAGGTGCATATACTGTGATTTAGAGCAAATCATTCCTTAGTCCAGTCACAAGACAGATGATTTTCTCTTTCAGATTTATAAATGTTTTTGGTGGGAGCCTCAACATAACAGTGAATGGGAAAGGCTACGAATATGTTACCAGTTACAATGCCAGCCAGTACCAGTTTTTTCCTTCTGGCATGTAAGTACCTACTATACTGGACACTTTGTTCAAAGTTCATAGATTCCAAGCCTCATTCTTTAAACAGTACATTGAAGCTTTTAATACCAAGAATGTTAACCTATATTATTCTTTCTTTCCATAGAAAAACCATCACACTAAGCTCAGCAGAGATTGCAACAGTCTGCAAGAATTCTTTTGAATCAGTCGACCTTGGATTTGGTAGTGCATTTACCTATGTAATTTTCAGGAAGGTTAGTAGCCCATTCCATCCCATCAGAAGTGCTGCTCAGACCGTCTTCATCTGAGTCCTTGCAAACACTTAGGACATAGTCATGATTTAACCAGAGTAATATTAGATCTGTGTTTTAAATGGGCTTAGAATCAGTCAAGTTCACCAACAAGTCTTCAACTTATCATTGGTTTGAGTTCACGGTTAGAATAAAATTGACAGATGGACTCACTCTCACTAAAAGTTCACATTGACCAGTGTCTGATGCTTTTAGTTCACAGAGATGGCAATGTTTTAAACAAACCCAACTCCCAATCCACTCTCTTATTAAAAAGAAAAATACTAGTAAACACATTTTCAAATCCAACCATGGCCATCTCATCTCAAGTATAAAAATGCAATGTTACATGTTTACATTAAAAATGTGTACTTACTTGATAAACAGTTTGACGTAACCCTAGAAGTCGGAACTCAATTTGCCAGTTTGAGCAATTTTTACTTTAGAAGCGATCTTGATTTTCATTTTCTTTTTCTCACTTTTGCCTTATTGGTTTAGAGTGATGGCTGCCCTGACCTGAAATATTCTGAAGATATTCCACCCAACACAATTAACATGGCCCTGCAAATCCCGCAGTATTTCCTCATGACCTGCGGCGAGGTGGTTTTCTCTGTCACAGGACTGGAGTTCTCATATTCTCAGGTTTCTTATTCATTGATTTTACTACCCCTCCTCTATACCCCTGCCTTCAAAATGCTGCTGGGACTTCATTTAAATCTGTGTTAGCAATACATTTATAGTTTAAAATAACTCTAGAAAGCATATGGTATATTCCAACAAAACAAGGTTTTTGAGGTCACTACGTCTTGTCTTTATTGACTAAGAATATTACTGTTTAGCTTTGTGAGTGCATATGTCATGTATGTCTCTATTTTCATAGTCACACACAGAAGTTTATAGTCCTAAGCAGGAAAAACTGCATTAACAATGGTCGCTAGGGTCATGATAGTCAGGGTACTCTGCTTTCTGAAACAAATGAATGGCCTCGATGATTCATAACAGTGTTCACTTCCAGGTCTGTGTCCTCATTCTCTTTAAGGTTCAGTAGAGGTCTCTCTGTAGCTCCTGGTAAACACACTGATTACAGCCTAGCTTTTAAACTTTAACAAAATATCACTTTATGTATATTGCATTAACGAGGCAAATTTTGCCGATACCTGACTTAGAGCTTAATTTCTGAATGATTTCATCAAAGCTACAGTTTAGTCCGTGTATCCCCATCATAACCAGTACCTTCAAGTTTTGCAGTAAAGATTGTAAATATGAGCTGGATCATCCCTTTCTGTGGTGACCTCGCAGTCCAATAAAGAGATGACCTAGCATAGGTGACCATAGTTTGAAGGGAGGTGTTGGTGGGTAGCAGGGAAGCTCACAGCCCGGAGAGCAGCTCCGCGTGGAGGGAAGAAGGTATCGGGCTGGCTGGTTGGCTTTGCTTGGAAGCTCTTCTGTAGAAATAGAATCAGTTCATCTATAGATTTGTCTGTTTAACTAGGATGGAAACTTTGCAAGTATGTAGAGAGTGAAGAACAAGGGCTCCCTGTATGTTTGTGCAACTTGAGGATTTGGGGTATCTTGCTACCCAAGAAATTATCCTTTCATGTTTAAACCAGCCTGACGTTCAGTGGGCATTTTTAGGGTAACTGCTTAATTAAATGAACCACCGGTTGTGTTCTCCCACTGAGAGTGAGATCCAGGTGGGAGTTCTCTTTGCTTTGTTTCCTCAGGCTCCTTCCAACATGAAGTCGGTGCTTCAAGCAGGATGGCTGTTGACAGTGGCTGTCGGCAACATCATTGTGCTCATCGTGGCAGGAGCAGGCCAGTTCAGTGAGCAGGTACGGGGTGGGAAGGAGACGTGCCTTTGTCTTCTCTACCAGTGGTCATCCCGATGACCCTCCCTCGCCATCTACAAATGCATGGTCATCTCAGCTAGTGGCTGAACAAGACCACTAGACCAGCCAGAGAGGGTGGTTACCAAATGGTCTTATGGCCAAGCAGGTACTGATTCTTCTTATGTCCACTGGGTGTCACACCGTCGAAAACGGACAACCAAAATAACCAGATTGAGTTCACATACATATACCCTGATGTCATTTACTATCAAGGAAAATGTCTTTCCTGGCTTTGGTGAATGCAGCGTAATGGCCCCAAACCAGGCATGTTATCCAGAAACTGTCATCACACCTACAGATAAAGCCATTCTAAAGGTGGTTGTAAGTTTTGCAGCTAACATAAAGGAAGGGCTGTCTATGCGAATTAAACCCTCTCCTTCAGCATGTCAGCATATGTGTCTCATAAGGGAGTTGCCCCTCACCCCACCCTGTCGCTTCATTACTTCCCCCACCGGGTCCCATCTGAGCGTGCGCTAATGCTGCGTGCTCCGGACCACAAGGTGCCGCCAAAGGATCACATGGGGCCCCTCACTTCAAACAGTTTGGCATATCGTTTTTTCTTTGAAGAGTACTGCCTGGTTTCTATTGGTCTCCATCCTTCCAGGGGCCAGCTAGGTGCCTTAAGACAGGTTTTTCAGAAAGTTTCTCTCATCTTCCCAAAGTCTTGTTTGTCCATTCTAGTACTGTAAGAAAAATGTTATCTTAATACTTGAGCATTCAAGAAAAGCTGGCACTTCTGTTATCTGTGGCAATAAGTGACCATTCCATAGTAGAAGCCTACCAGTTTTTCCCTAACAATTTAATTCCTAAGCACCTTCCATCTGGACATAGCAAGAAAATATACACGTGCTATATACACTATTGTAACCGGTGTTGTTTTTGTCTTTTTTTTTTTCTTGCTCCAACGCCAATTTCTTCAAAGTGGGCCGAGTACGTTCTGTTTGCTTCGTTGCTCCTGGTCGTCTGCATAATTTTTGCCATCATGGCTCGATTCTATACTTACATCAATCCAGAAGAGATCGAAGCTCAGTTTGATCAGGATGAAAAAAAGAAAAAGCCAGAAAACCTATATAGCACAATGGATCCCGTCACACAGACACATTTGTGAATATCAGGAAGCCAGTGGAGAATGGATTGGGCCGAGAACATGCCCTGACTTCTGTCTCCAGGTGGCAGGACACTGTTGGATGACCCTGATGGGGAAGACTTCAGAATTATGAACCAAACCAAGAAAGCAATTTTCTAAGCAGCCATCAGTGAACCTCAAACTCTAGAAGAAGTCTTTTTTTTTTTTAAGAGAAGTCTTATTTAAGGTACGCATGCATGCACACACACACTTTTACAACATTTGCAAGTATACCCTGCAGTCAGCTCTTTTCCTATCACAAAAATGAAGTTATTTTGGACTAACTTAATATTTTGAAAGGGTGACAAAGTTCCATATTGTTTGCATTCTCACACTGTATGAAAACAATGTTAAATGAGGCCAGAGAAATGTGAAAGTGAATCTACAGGCTAAAGGATGGTACATAATAAGCTAGTATTAACTGATACCTTTACCTTTTGTTTTTTTGTTTTGTTTTGTTTTGTTTTCCCAGTTCCTACCTCTTTTTAAATTATGTGTAACTCAAAAAACCACTCAGGTAAAAGCCAATAATGATTTTTAGAGTCTCAGTGGAATGAAATAAATTTCCATTCTTAAGAATAAGTGTCTGTGTGTCTTTGGGTGGTGTGAGAAATTCTTAATGTTTCAAGATTATTAAAGCTGTGCACACATTAAAATTTCATCAGAAGTTTATAAAAGCATGAACAAAAGAAATGCCCACATTAATAAATTCCAGGAACATAAAATATGGAGGTTTGTTTCTTCCTGGTTTTGTTCTCCCCAGGGAGAGAGAGAGAGAGAGAGAGAGGAGAGATTTCTCTTTTATTACTAGGGTCGTTCTATGTGCATATTTATGTACCATCTCAAGTGATCTTTTTCAATGCTCAAGCATTTTTCTGCTTGAATGAAAATTCTTCCAAAACATTATAAACACTGAATGCCTAATTCATTCTATAGATACTTATAATTCAATCATTTCCAGGTTTCAGACCCAAAACAAGTCTATGTTAGTAGTTGTGTAAAAACCAGCACCTGTTCTTGGACAAACTTGGCTCCGCTCTGAAGGCTGGAACGTGCCTGGGCCCGAGGAAGGGCCATGCTAGACTCTAAGGTGCTTCGTGTACCAGCTCGTCACTGCACTGTGGGAGCAGACTGAAGCTGGGGTTGGGGGCCTCCCGACCCAGAGAGAAACACACATGTGATGACCACACCTTGCTGAAGACCTTTTCCACCCTTAGGATCAAGTGCTCATTCCTTAACTGGGGCCCATGAGGCTCCTTTTTCTCTGGACACATCTCCCGGCTGTCTGCTCGCTCTGACCTAACCAACATTGAGTTTCTTCTAGTTCCTGGAACACATCAGGTTCTCCTTTCCAGGTCAAAGCTAGAGAAAAATCAGGTCCTAAGACACCTATTCTCTCCCTACCACTCACCCACCCCCTCCCCTGGCTCAGTCCTTTTCATTTTCAGGATTCAGGCCACTTCGTCCGGTTTCCCTGACCCAGTCCCCTGCACTGGTTGTGCCTCCTCGGAGGTCTCTCCCGCCGCACACCCTCAGTGTGCTGTAACTATGCAGCTGTCCCTGGGCTGGAAGCTTTCTGCGTGCGACCTGTTCTGCGTTCCTTCTCCAGAACCCAGCAGGCCTCCACGTGTTAAGTAAACGTTTTGAACCTCCTGGGCTTTGAGGACTGAGATGGAAGAGGGGAGGAACTGAACATTCAGTAGTGACTTCAATGAGCCTAATTAGTAAAACCTAGTGTGGAAGACTAGTTATAAGGAACAACTAATTTTGCCTCTTCGATCATTTCTACCCTCTAACTTCTTTTTTATGCCTTTGATGAGGGCAAACCAATAGTTACAGTGATGAGCACTCAATTTTCACTACTTGTCAATAATCGAAAGAACTAATCCTTAATCTGCAAAAGATATTCTAGTTCTAACTCGTCTTACTGCCTCAGGGTGCCTCTGGACCTTTTAGATCTCATTTTCTTCTACAAAATAGAGAACACTAGATGATGAGGTCTTAAAAATCTTTCGTTTGGCTCGGCCACTGTGGCTCAGTGGTTGAGCATTGACCCATGCACCAAGAAGTCGCTGGTTCAATTCCCAGTCAGGGCACATGCCCAGGTTATGGGCCCAATCCCCAATGGGAGGCATACAGAAGGCTACCAATCAGTGTTCTCTCTCATCAATGTTTCTATCTCTCTCTCTCTCCCTTCCTCTCTCTCTAAAAATCAATAAAGAAAAAAAATTAAAAAGAAAAATCTTTTGTTTGAGGATGTCTGGCACACAGTGGGCTTCCAAATACTTAAATGAAGGCCTGCTGCTCTGTGGCCTCTAGTTAACATTAGGTCACTTTGCAGATGGATGGAAATGACTCCTGCGTCATCTTCACTGGCCTTTAAACAATATGATGAAGGCATGGTGGGGAACTGGGACACCTCGCTCCTCAGGGTTGAGTTTTTACAGTTATTTGACCACTTCTTCCAAACATAATCAGACTGATGGGTGCCACCATGAGTGTTCTAGATGTGAGACATTAGACAATGGCAAATGTCATGGGGCAGGGGTAGCGGAGGGAGACACATGAGACCAGATCAATACTTTTGGTAGTCTGCCCGTTCCTCGCCCCCCATTTTTTTGGGGTGTGTGTGTGTGTGCGCGCGCGCGCACTTGGTGCCTTTCTCTAAGTTCTGGACTGATCAGTGTATAACTAAAATAGTATACTTGAAAGACTGGGTGACTGTGAAGGTACAATTCAACGTGGGATGGAGACTGGAAATGCTTTCATTGAAAATAGCAGGGCTTCATTGCTTATTCAAAAAAAACCCAGAATATTGTGAGAAGTGTTTATAATGTTCATATTCATCTTTTTCATATCAACCTATTGTTTGATTTCACATTTCTCCATAATATTTTTTAAATATTGTGGATGTTCTTTAGTTCTTTCATGGTACTAAAATATAACATGACTTTTATAAAATGACTTTATTAAATGTAAGTTCAAGTTTGATTTTGTTGACCACTTTAGCCATAGATTTTGTCATGCATTCTGGAGTTTTGTGGCAGCCTCATTTTTTTAATGACAAATAATAGTAGTTAACACGTATTGAACACTGACTATCTGTAGCTAGCCTGCTAAGCACTCTATTGCCAGAAGTTAACGAGCATGAATCCTTGTAACAGCTCTATAATATAGATTACTGTTATTATTCCCATTCCACAGAGGAGCAAACAGGCACTGAGAAACCAGCTAACCTTCCCAAGGTCATGTGTGGCTCCGGGGCCCAGGCAGCCAGCCACTGTACAAACTGGCCTCTTGATGCCAATGTTCATGGACAGTGTGGATTAACTCAATTTACTCCTTATAATAATACTCAGGAAGGTCTTATTACCCTTTTTTTAGAGATCAGGAAATAAAGGAATAGCTAGCTTAAGTAACTTGCCCAAGGCCACATACCCAGCAGTTGGCTGAGCCAGAATTTGAACCCAAGCATGTCAGAGCAGAAAGGCCTGTCTCTTAACCACCAGGCTGTGCTGTCTCCTCCCACACAGTGGACTGCAGATGCGTGCTGGTGGAAGTGACGGAAAGGGACACTGCAGGGCCTCAGAGTGGCAACGGTTCCCCTGAAATCCAGGGTGGGCCGCCCAGGGCGGACCCGGAAGGACAAGAGGGGCTGTGGGGGGAGGGGGGGAGAGGCTGGTAAGTCCTGCCCTCAAGGGGCTACACAGAAAAGATGAGACACATTTGCCACCGCAGAAGGAGCCAGGGTGTCCTGGAAACACTGGAACCCCTGACAAGTCTGAGCTCCGCACATGCCCCGCCAGTGGCCGTCCCAGTGTTGGCCCCTGAAGGCCTTGGTGATTCGCTCTGAGGCTTTGCCGTGCAGAGGCCAGCGTCCCCCCTGGGGGGGCAGCTGGCTTGAGGGCAGAGGCGGGTGTGAGGAGCAGTGGTCTGTGGCAGAGCTGGAGAAGGGGGGAGGCAGGGAATCACCAAACTGGACGGCAGGCAACGTGCAGGCTGTTTTGTTTTCATCGTGGTAAAGTCTACCTTAAAAAAAAACAGACCATTAGCCATTTTTAAGTGTACAGTTCAGTGACATTAAGAGCCTTCATATTGCTAGGCAACCATCACCACTATCCATCTCCAGAACTTTTTTTTTCTTGCAAAACTGAAACTTCATGCCAACTCCCCAGTCCCTTCTCTGCCCAGAAACCTCCAGCGAGACAAAAACATTTCCCCTTTCAGTTGCCTCCATCGTGTGATATCAGAGGGAGCCCCATGGGTCAGGGCCTGTCTCCAACCTGATCCAAGGCAATAACAGGAGAGAGAGCCTGGGCCTCCCGGGGCCCAGGTTGTGTCAGGAAGGACGCAAGTTTCCCTCCACCCACTGCAGTGTGACCAGGATGGCTTCGTCTCACTTTCCTGTATCCTGTTAACCTCTGATGATTAGAGCCACCGGAGTGTTTATTTGACGTAACATCTGGCACGTTCTAATGAAACTTGTAGAATCCATAAATGTATTTAAAGACTCAAAAGGAACAGGGGTTGGATATGCTAAGTCACTACTCTGGTGACTCAGGAACAAAGGCTGAATGTTCTGGAGGCCAGTGTGGGAGTCAGACGACTGGTCCCCACGGCAGACTGTGGTGCCTGGGTGCTGTCCTATCCTAAGCACTGAGTCAAGAACGTTTCCTGGAGGTTTCCATTCCATAGGAGGCTCCTAAAGCTTTCTCTGTCCCCCATCGCCACAGGAAAGAGAGAGGAGGGAGGGACAGGCCGCCTGCCACAGAGCTCTGTTTGACAGGTTCCCCCAGCTTTGCCCTTGTCAGCAAAAGGTGCCAAGAGCACCTCCTTCCCTAAACTGTACCTCTGGGCAGAGATGACATTCTCTGCTGCCCCCTGCTGTTCAGCCCGGATTTTAGTCTTCTGTAAGACCAACCTTCAGGGACACTAAACTTTAGTAGGTCACTGGTCTTTACTTGGGTCTTGGGTTTGCTTTGCAAGCCTGGAAGGAATTCTTAGTTCAGGCATGCCTCGGAGGTACTGAGGCTTCGGTTCCAAAACACTGCAATAAAGCTAGCATCGCAATGAAGCGAGCCTTAATGATATTGCTGCAGAGGGTCTTGCCTTCAAATGGTAAACTGCAACTTCTGTGAAGCACAGGAAAGCAAAGCCCAATAAATATAAACAAGGTATGGCTGTATGCCTCACTCAGCTGCTAAAAGTCACAACCTATGTGTGTCCAATAAGCATTAGGGACCTACAGCCCTTGTCTGGGAGAGAGGGAGTGAACCCTCCTCTCGGAAGCAGAGGAAAGAAGATCTCCCCTCTCGCCACAATGAGAAGACAGCAGTCTACCAGCCTGGAAGAGAGGTCACACCAGAAACCTACCCTAGTGGCATCTTGGATTTCCAGCCTCCAGAACTGTGAGAATATTAATTTCCGTTGTGTTGCTTAAGCCCCCAGCCCCACCCCCACCCAGACTGTGGTATAATGTTATTAGCCTGAGGTGACTAATCCAGGAACCACTGTGCCCGTTTGTTAGGGATGAGG